ATTTAAGAGCCTCTGGTGGCAATGAATGTACCTAACAGATTGCCAGAAATTTACATTTGACCTTTACCCAATTATAATTGCAATAGGACTACTGGTGATAATAATTTTGGCCCTAAATTTCCATCTGATACTGATGCCAATTTGTATCCTACCATCTGGCAGATGTTTTATAATACTTCCCCCACTGTTTTCCTGGATATATTCTTGAAACCAAGAAGCGCAACACTTCCTATTGAAGTAAGAAATTGCTATTAGACTTCTGGAAAGAGATACATGCTCTCCCACAGAATTGGCAAAATGTTGCAGTTAAGTAACTAGGGAAAGAGAAGAGAGTTGGTGTTTCATGCAATCAAACCTTTACTCATAAATCATAGCTTATTAACAAGCAGAGGGTTTTACAGAGCAATTCTATGCATGTGTCTTTGGATGGTAAAACCTTTGAACTCAGTGGAGCTCAGTCCTAGTTCTGTGGCTACAGGACAAGCACACACAAGGGTAGGAAAAGGAAGCTATCATTGCTTATTTTTCCTGCTGCTCATAAGAACCTGGTGAGCAAATAAGCTTGGATCAAACATATGGACCATCCGTTTATGATCCGAGTTCTCTTTTCCAGTTGTACGCTTTTTAGCCATTCAACCCCATTTGATAAATAGCTCTTCACTGAGCATTCCTTCAGGAATTAGTTAAGAAAAGTATATTTAGAATGAAAAAATATCATAATAACCCCCATAAAATGAATGTTCCTAGCTACATGTAAGTGCCATTCCCTGCAATTCTAATGAGTCTCCCACCTTATGGCTTTTCCCTCTAATTGCTTCCTGGGTAGCACTGCCATGGACTGACTAATTTTCCCTTAACTGGCCCTTAAACAGTCCAATTCCTCTTGCTGATGGGGGGTTAATTCCATGTTCTCCCATTGACATTTTTCATTTATTGTACAACTGCTTTTTACAACAAAAAAGGAAAATATTAATGCCTCCCCTCAGTAGTAAGTATCTGTATGTTCCCATCCTCCTTCCCCGCCCCAACAAAAATGAAATACTTAAAAGACACTAAAGATGCAATTAATCAATGGCAGCCAGCCATACTTGGACAGGAAGCAATTAAAGGCAGAACCCTAACTGAAAGGATAATAGCCTTGAATAACCTGGATAGTAGTTTGTTAGCCAGAGTTAGATAAATACAGTTGTATCATTTATGATATTCAGAATTATTAAGAGCAGCAGCAGCAGTGGCTTTAAAACTGCCTTTCAGGAAGCACTTCCTCACAAGGCAACTTAAAATATTACTCCAAAAATGTGCATATAATTACAGTTAAATACAAATACATACACACAAGACTGGAATATATGTAACTTTGTGGGGGTGGGGGTTCTGTTTTAGCCAGTAGTGATTAGCCATGTGCACTCCATGTGAATGGAGTTCTAAAAGGTTAAATGGCAAACAAATTACCACAATCAGGTCTAAATAAAGGTAGGAGGACAACATCGAAAACACTGGCCTATCATCTGGATTCTATGTAAAAAGCAAGTGAACAATTCCAGACTTCATGGAGAATGTGGAAGCAACTAGTCTCCTTTTCTCATGGAAGTATACAGTTTTTGATGGTGAGGATGCTGCACTGTGTAAAAAAATAATCTACAGTCCTGTTCACATACACAGAAATATATTGGTACTAATATGGCTCCAAATAGGTTTAGAATTCTGCTGGTATTCTGTTTACTGGCTTTATGTGTAATATACCAAGAATATAAACTGAAAACTAGTCTATCTACAGGGCAACACATTTAGGGTGTCAGAAACCCAATGGTTTCAAAATAATTTGATATTATGCGAGGAAGATTATGGTACAACAAAAAAATCCCAAATTTTTGTTTATCATAAGTAGGGCATCAGTCAGAATTTTTATACAACTCTCTACTAATTTCCATACTCACAGCCAAAACATCTAGATCTATCAATCTCACTATGTAATGTTTATTAAAATAGTAAATTGGCTACTGACATGTCAAAGAGCTGAAAACCTTGGCTGTATTCCATACCCTCAATGGGTTTGCTATTGAGTATAAATAGGATAGGATGCCTCAATCTTAGACACTTCTGCTCAGATGAAGGAATTGCCTTTCTTCTGTCTCCATCGTCCTGAAGTTTGAATCATGTGTTTATGCAGCAGAGGATGACCATTTTTTTCTCACTTTTAGAGGCAATTTACCACTTTCCCCAGTATGGATGTGATCGTTGCAACATAACAGCCTGTCTCAGAGGTTGATGTGTATTACTTCCTGTCCATTCTTGACTCAGCCACATATTCCTGTACACAAACAACCCAAACATTTGGGGGGTAAGCAATTCGAAGCCTTTCAGATGTTTAGCATACACTTTTCATCAGCTTTAGCCAGCATATTTGATGGAGAAGAATGATGGGAGCTGTAGGACAAAACATCTGGAGGCCAACCTCGTGTCGGGATTGATGTGTAACTGGTCTACAAATGGCCACATAGGGCAATAAGGCAGTTGCACACACAGTGCTTAATGTGCAGGCAATGCAACCTGTGCCAACTGGTCCTCCTACCCTGCTCAGCACATTTGACCAAACTTGTGAAAAAATCCCATATATGTACAAGTGCAAATATGGCATTGGACTGTTACCCCCCCCCACACACACACACAATCTACATGTGTTTGGAATAAAGTCAGGACAGTCCTCCATGATGACCTGCATGCAAGCTGTCAGTCAACTTCAACTGGTACAAAAGAGAGCAGCCGGACTATTGAAAGGGACTGGCATACATGACACCAGTCCTGTCCCATCTGCACTGGATACCAGTTCAAGTCTGGGTCCAATTTAAGGTGTTGACAACAACATATAAACCCCTAAATGGTTTCGGGCCTGCTTATAACAACTCATTCTGTACACACTTGCCTAGATGTTAAGATCTTCTACGGAGGTCCTTTTCCAAAAGCCCTCCTTGGAGGGTCACTACAAGAAGCACCTTCTCAGTGGTGGAGATTGGGGAATATGGTGCTGCCTCTATATTCTTTCCAGGCCTTTTTACTTAACCAGTATTTTAATTGTTAATTTTAATTATGTATCTGATTTAATTCTATTTTAATCAAGTACTGTTACTTGTTTTGGCATTTTATTGTAAACTGGTTAGAGATTTCCTAAGGAAATATATATGGTATAGAAAATAAATAAATAAATAAAATTCATTCACATTGGTGTCCTCGCTGTAGGGCGCTTCTAACGTGCGAAGCTGCTAAAAGCACCTCCTGGAGAGGACGGGCTTCAAGGAGAGCATTTTCTAAAGACGCAGTCGCACAGCAAAGCCTGCATTTGGCGGCAGGCTCTAAACGGGGCCTGTTCTGCTTCAGGACGCAAAGCTGAAATTCCAGGCCCTAAAACCACATTACTTTGAAGGTGCGCCTAACAGCTTTCCTTGCATTTCGCTTCTGCTCCAGAGTAGCTGCAAGGGCCCAATCCAGATCTTTACAACGCTCCATCCCGGGACTCGATCTGGATCGAGGCCCTTGCGTCTGCCGAGAGTAAAAATGAGCGGGGCAAGGGACGAGGGGCAGCTGCTGGAAACGCATGTGCAGTAACGTCTGTGTGGCGCTCGGCAAAGCAGGGGGAAGACGGCACGCGACGAGTCCCGAGGATGAGCCCGGGTCTCCGGCCTTCGGCGTTCTGGCGCCGCCTCCTCTGCCCAGAGGCCGCAGTCTGTCCCCTCCGTTGCCATAGCGCCTGGAGAAGTTTCCTTCCCGAGTCCGCGAGTGTTTTGAGCCTATCCTTGTGGAATTCAATTGCATCATCGCCTCCGACGCGCTCCGTTGCTAGGACGACTCCGGGCACTTGGGGAGAAAGTTGCACCCGCCCGTAGCCGACGTCCGCCTTCTCCAGATGCCGGCGGGAGTGAGAATCCGTAGCTCTGGCTTGGAAAGCCTCCCCGGATGCTCCGTGTGGGCGGGAGGAGGAAAGACCGCAGGGAACCTGTCGCTGCGTGCAGCCCTTCTCCTGTCTTACAGCCCCGTCCTCGAGCAACGGGCTGGGTGGCGGCGCCAGGCGTGACAAAACTTCCATGCCACTCGATAAGGCTTTCCGTTCAGATGTCTCCACACGCATTTTTGAACTCTTCCCCATTCCTGTACGGAAAAAACACCCGTGAGGTTGCAAAAAGTTTGGCCCGCCTCTTTTCGGCTTGCAGGTGCCTAAAAGTCTCTCTTTCCCTCTGTAACACACACACCCCCACACAAACATGCGCCGCCCTTTGGCCGCATTCGAAGAAATCCAACTCAGAATGCAAACTGGGGCTGGGGCTGGGCTCCCAACGACACCAGAAATGCAGCGCGCTAAGTAATTCTCGCAACGGAGAACGGGAGAAGAAAAGGCTTCACCCATCGAACTTCTCTCGTGTAGCTGCTAAAATCGCAGGAGCCCTGGCGGGAGTTGCACGCGGCGTGTTTGTTCTCCTTGCGCGCCCATCCCGTCTTTCTCTGCCTCCGCTTCCCCGATTTCCCTCCTCCAACCGCCCCAGACTCCAGTAGATGGTGGCGATGCCCTGGAGCGGAGGAGCCCACTGCCCTCCCCTTGCCCCGGTGGCATCGTGGAAGGCTACACGTTTTTTTGGAAGCCGTCTTTTTCCCCCTCTGCCCAAGCCGCATTACCTCATGCTAAAGAACTCCCTGCGTGAAGGGCTGGGCTAAATATAGGAACTGGGAGCGGGAGAAAGAGTTTAGGCTGTGCAAGGAGGGAAGGCTGCACCGGGCGGGAGGCGGGCAGGGCGGGATGCGCCCGCCCGCGCTGCTAACGCCGAGCACGAGGATGTACCCGCTCGCGGCTTCTGACCCCCCTGTGTGTCTCTGTGCCTCCCCCCCGCAGATTCCCGCCCGGCGCAGCATGCCCGCCCCGCTGCTCGCCCTCCTGCTCCTGCGCACCCTCCTGACCCGCTTGCTGCTTGTGGCTCGCAAGCGCCTCCTGCCGCTGCTTCGTCGCCTGGGGGCCCGCCTGACTTCCCGGCAGTCGCGCGAGGCCGTGCTCACCTGCCTGCTCTGCGTGCTCAACCTGCGCAAAAAGGTGGACGACGACTGAGGAGCCACGCTCTGGAGACGGAGAAGCGGGTCACCCAAGAAGAGGGCGCCGTTCAGGACTCGGCCTCCCGCAACTGAGCCTCACTGCCAGCCTTGCAAGTAGGTAGCACTGGCCACAACATCTGTCACCTGGAGCGCCCTTGGACGGGAGAGAGGAGGCGGTCACTCTGCAGAAGGCTCTTCTCAGGCAGGAGGGACTGAACTTCTCCGGAGAAGAAAGCATTCTGCCCGCCCAAGGAAGAGGGGAGACCGGGGAGTATTCTGCAGCTGCAAGGCTCTGGGGAGATTTCATTTCTGATCTCATCTCTCAAGGTCCACCCCCAGGCAAGCTCTGCCAGCTTCAAGGCGCTTAGAATGATTTTCTCCTCCTGGCTTTGAAGCCAAGACCAAACTCCCACCCTCAATCCTGCTCTTGCTGCCTTTTGTTTTCTGCCTATACTTTCCGGCAAGCTGTTGCCCAGAGGCCTGGAATGGTGGCAGTTCTTCTGTTCGGAAACCAAGGGGGATTGGAAGCCCGCTTCCTTAGGACATCTCACAACAAGCATCATATCCGAGAAGGCTCCTAAGCAAGGCCTTTCGAGAAGTCGCACCGGACAGGATCTGTGGGGCAAACTCCATGCATGTTTGTGGGGGCGCAAAACTGGCTGAACTGAAACCTCATCTCTGAGAACTTGGCCCTGCATTTTATCATCTGCTGCTAAAGTTCTTTTCTCTTCTGCTGCTTACAGCCGAGCCGTGCAGATTGTCAAGACTTGTGTGACCCCCACAGTCTCCTGTGGACCCTGCAGGGCCAATGCTAGGAGAACAATGTCCGGCAGCACAGCAAGGAAAGTCCAGCCATTCACAATTAGCACCAAACTTTCCCTGCCAAAGTGCTCCCTGGACTTCCCAGGGGATGGTTCCCCCAGTATGCCTATAAGCGCACTGGATAACCGGGACTTGCACCCAAACCTCAATGAACGCATGTCACTATATTTGGCGCATGCTTCTCCAGTGTCCCCTGGGGGTAGATGTGACAGCCCCAGCCCTGTTGAAGAGATGGACATCACTGAAGATGGTCTCAACCGCAATTCACTGTCCCGCTCCATCAAGAAGATCACCCTGTCCAATTGGCACAGAGTACCTGGTCCAGGTGAGGCAGGAATGAATCGAGGACCTTTCCACAACCCCTCTGAGAGGAACTGCAACAACAACAACTCCAGAACAGGAAAGGCACAATTCAAGGTAAGAACTTTAATATCCCCTCCTATTTGCTATAGGCTGCCATTCTGCATTCCACCTTTCTGAATTACATGGTCAGGACAGCTCTGGGTTCTTTTTGTCTTCATGTATTCCTTTATTTATAATTACACGTATATCCTGCTTTTTCCAAGGAGCCTAAGTCAGCTTATGTATCCTCATCTTCAATTTCTTCTCACAACAACCTTGTGAGGTAGGTTAGGGCCATTTTGTCTCCTCCATCATGTGAGAAGACTTCAGAAGTAGCTCTAGGGGTGGTTCTGGGGCCAGCCTGTGTTCTGGGAGGTTCTTGTAGTTCAGTATTTCCCTCATATTTTCGGAGAGGAAGACAAACCTCTTGAGAACTTCGATTGCACAAAACTAAAAAAAAAAACATTTCCCAAATCTTAGCAAAGGTAACTGAGCAAGGGACAGTTGGTAACCATGAGGTCCTTTTTTCTACAGTGCTAAAACAAAGCATTTGCTCATTCCTACGTGCAGCAAAGTTGCATTTGTACCATAATGCATTGTAGTGTCTGACAGTATTTTTTTGCAAATGGATTGGTAGAATCACTGCCACTTTCTGTGTCAGATGTAGTCATAGGCCCTATTTTGATAATAATGATCCCCATACAGCTCTTCCAAAAACTGAGCACCCAAGATGGGGATTTCTGGTTCTACCTTCACTTCTATAATATCATTTCTATTGCATTTTTTGTCTCCTGGGTTCATCTGTCTTTTTTTGCAAGGGAATGGGAATGAAGGTTGTTTGTAGTTAGAAAGCCGCTAACTGAGCTTGGTGAAATAATAATAGGAACACTTTTTATAGTAGCATCTCATTGCTGGGCAGGATTTATAAGAAAGTGATGTGTAGAATGATGCTGGTATGGACTGGAAGGAGCTGAAATAATTTCTGTAGAATGTGGTGCTGGTTCCTAGACTTGAATGTAACAGGGAACTGCGTACTGACTTAGGCTTCTATTTTTCTAATCCTGAAGTCTCCTCACTGAACTGTGTAACTGTCCTGAGAGTTTGAACTATTGTGCAGGATAGAAATAGACTTTATAATACTGATGCAATACTAATGATCTAAAAAACTCAGAGTTGCCTTCTGCTGCTGCTTAGTTTTTTTCTACATACCTAGTGCTACCCTACATTTCTGCTACACCTGTCCCAGGCTTGTTTTGTGGAGCATCGGAAAGCCAGTCCAGTAGCACTTCTGCCTAATTGTGTTTTTTTATGTTTAAGTAAAAGCCTTTCTTTTGTGTAGGAAAGGAGACTGGCTTATCTCTAAAAATAAGTGATTATCAAACAAATTCTCTGGCACCAAAATGTTCAGATAGATGTCACAGGATGACAGCAGAGCTATTTGCCCATTACGCAGGTGCATCGCTCCTGCAGCTTTCGAGCCTCTTTGGCACACAAATTTTACACGCTCAGGTTGTCATACGAGCACTCATTTCCATGCAATTAATAAGATACCCCAATAGGGTTAATAGAAGCCACAGCACTCATTTCAGGTTTGAGAGAAGTCAAAATTTTGTTGAGTTTCTCTGTAATGAATGGCAAAGGCATTACCTCATCATGCTATCTCATAGGCTCCAGGGAAAGTATCCTCTAAATTGACCTTGAAATCTTAGCCAAGAATCTGTCCATAAGGCCTTATGTGTTGCCTTGGCACTGAGCCCCTTAGGAGCCAGACTGTCCCTCCTTTGGGCAGATTAGTTTGCCCATCCCAACCCTCATTTGTGTGGTTTCCCACCAGCGAAGGTTTCTGTCCGTCCCTTCTCTGCTGCAACCTCCCACCTTCCAGAGCAATAGAAAGACTAACTCGTTTCTTGTTTTCTCATGTGCTCCCGGCTGCTGCTTGTTGGATGGGATGAGATAGCTGGGGGAGAGAGCCCTGCCTCCGCAATCCGAGCGAGCGGAGCAGCTCTGCAGGAAGGATGAGATCATCTTGTGCTGACAGCCTTGTTTTCCTGCAGCTGATGGACTGAGGGGGCTTCCAATGTAAATAAAGCACTTATGTCACCTGCAAGCTTATCTCCCATTACTGAGTTCTGGCTGGGGAAAGAGCCAACTGGGTCTGTGGTAGGGAAAATAGGTGAACAGGATTTAATGGTGAGCATCTCCAATCACAGGGCACATGCCTAAGGGGTAACGGCCATCCAGTGTTTCTAACAACCAGCTGTTCCATAAACAGGATAGGAGTAATGGATTATCTTATGGTCCTGTAGGCATTTGGCTTGAAAGGAAGTCTCCTTTCTCAGGTGTTAAGGTTTCAAGTCCTTTAAGTCTTAGTTAGACAATAAAATACACCAAACTTTCCCAGTAGCGTACTTGTCTTCAACCTCTAATTCAAGGCTGCAATATTTGCATTCACATGCAATTTGGAGAGGACTCACTTTGCTTCAAGGCACTAGCCTACATTCCCTGATTTTTATTTTTCTAATCAGCACCACCCTGATCTCAGACACATACTCGAACAATAGAGGCGATGGACAACCTTCAAAGAAATTGTGAAATGGTGATTCATACATTTAAAGAATACTTCCCCCCACCCACCGCCCACTAACTAAAGATCTTCTGAGCAACAAACAGCTTGTCATAAGCTACTTTTTCCTGTCAATGACCCCAAATTTACAAGGTCTGTTAGAAATCCCAGGGATTTGAGGGCTCCTTGAAACTGAGCCATTCAAGGTAATTTAATTTGTCCTGAACAAACCATTTCACAGAAAAAAATGGCATTTTGGCTGTAGCATAATTTATTTCATACCATTTGAAAGTAAGCCCAGTGGAACTTATTTCCAAGTAAACATGCTTAGGTTTGCACTGTTGGAAGCCCAAGAATAATAAAAGAAGTGAAAGTTTATTTAGAAGAGTACAAAATATTGGGTGTTGGAAAATATATAAATAAACAATGCAAAGTGTACATAAAGTACAATTTCTGCATAAGATGTGGTTGTGCATGAGTGCACTAAAGCATGAGCTGAAGCTGTACTTTTTGTTTAAGGTCCTGAGCCATATTCTGCCAGAATTCTAATATGTTTGGTTTAGGAGTCAGTGTTCATTGGATGCAATGCTGCAGCACCAGTCCCCAGCCTTAGGTCATTTCTCAGGAATGAGCTCGCCTTTCCACTGATACCCACATAGAGAATGTGTCAGTATAGGCAACGCGGTTTGGGGTAGGGGGGCTGACTCCCACAGAAGTGTGCAGCATTCTGTTTAGTGCTATGTTCTTGTATCTCTTAACAGAGTTTCTATTCCTAGAGCTAGTGCTTGTGTGCAAGCTGGGAAAGCACCTTTATCCTTTAATACGAAAGGAATGCAAAATATTCTGTGGTGCTCTCCTCTTTAGCCTTCCTGGTTACATTCAACCGTTTGTCATTGTGTGAGATCTGCTCATTTCTGTTTCACCTTGCAGGTAAAAATGAGGACTGGTGAGCTGCTGTGAGGAAGAGGAGGAAGAGGGAAAATCAAACTTCTGTTAATGTGACATTGCATTTAACTTAATATGTTATAGCCATATAAATAAAGCATTGGGGGTTGTAAGACTTGAGAAACTGGAGCAGTTGGTGGAGAATCCTTCCTGGCAGTGTGCAGCTCATCTCAAAGCCTTCTTTAGAGTTGGGTGATGCTGAATCTTCACTTTTTCCTTAATTTTCCTTTCTAGGTCTTCCTCAAAAAAGAAGTAAGAATTGGGGAAGAAAAGCAAGAAGCAAGTAAGCCCCAGGCTGGTTGCCATGCTTCAGTGGGCAGAGTGGCTCCTGGTCACATGGTATGTTTCTTTTTATCCTTTACTTTGGCCATGCTATCTAGGTTTGATGCAAGTCATAGTCCAGCACATTTGGACGGAACCAGGATGGGAAAGGCTGCTCTGATATTGACAGCCAGTGTGGTGTAGTGGTTAAGAGTGCTGGTCTAGGTTCCGGTCCCCACTCAGCCATGGAGCCAACTGGGTGATTTTGGGCCCCACTCTCAGCCCAGCTCGCCTCAAGACTGAGAGCAGGAGGAGCAGAATGACGTAAGCTGCTGGTAGAATGTTTTGGTTAGCTTGATGACATGTGAGGGTGACAGGAGGAAGTTCATCCTGGAGGGAAATCTTTTGCCTATGAAAGTGAATCTGAGCAATCTGTACCTGCAGGTAGCCTTTGGTGAATGTTTATATGCTCTTCCTCCCTGCCTATCTCTCAAGAAGTGGGAACCTTTTTTCAGCACCAGGTTAAGACCTTTTTATTTAATCAATATTTTAATAAGTTTTAATATTACATTTTATTACCATATTTTAAAGCAGTCAGAGTGGGTTGTCAATTTATTTATATTATATAGTTTATGTACTTAGGAATTTTATTTGTGTAAGCTGTCCTGAGGCTCTTGCAAAGGACGGCATGCAAAAATCTTAAAGAAAGAAAGAACGAACGAACGAACGAACGAACCTGGTAGGGATGGTAGATTAGACATTGAGGTGCTACTTGAATTTGTCTTAGTGGGCCTTTCAAACACCCATAGACTCCAATCTGGTGTTTGAGAGCTTGTTGGTTGCTGGCACTAGCCATGAAACCTGGATATCCATGAGATGTCCACCAAACAAAGAGAGAACACTTCCGGTATTTCTCTTGCATACAACTCCAATGGACTCCCAGCTCCGGCCATTCTTTTCATTTAACCCACAGCTGTGTTTTCAAGGAGTAGCATTGCCAGTGAAGCCCTTCTCCAAGTATCTGATTTATCAGCAGTGTGTTTATCTAGAACAAAGAAGAGGGTGTTTTCTGTAGTGACAGCCAAACTTTGGAAAGACCTTCCTAACAGAGGTTTGCTTGGCATCTGTTGTGAACTGTTTGGCTCTAAGCGTTTAACTTTTAATTCATAAACTTTCATTTGTTCTATTATTTTATCTGTTTTTGTATGGAATTATACTTTTTGGTACACCAGCCTGGAATCCTGAACAAGGCAGAGGACAGTATATAAAGGCTTTACAAAAAATAAATTAAAATAAAATAAAATATATTTTTAAATGCTAGTAAATGGTGGTGGAAGGTTACCTATGATATTAATTTACTCAGTCTTCTCTGTTGCACATGTATTGGGGTCCAGCTGGAAGGACCATGGGCTTTGGCTACATAGCATCTGTGTGACAAGGACCAATAAAATCTCTAGTTGGGTGCTGCTTCTTTGAAAAAATCTGAACTCTTGCATGTAGAAAGAAACCATGACTAACCAGCCTTTTTAGCTCTAGTGATCTTAATGATGATTTAGTGCAGTCTTTCCCAGTCTGAGGCCCTCCAGATCTTTTGAGCATCAACTGCCATCACTTCCAACCAGCACTGTACAAGAATTGCATTCATTTTTAAATATGCACTTATGCTAAAGTGGCCAGATTCCCCCAGAAGTAAAAACTGACCTGCAAGATAATGGAATCCATGCGACGCAAAAAAACTGGTCCACCTTGGAATCTTCAAGTCAAAATTAGAGAATCCCAGTATCATTTGAAACCATTGCAGATATCTCTGACCTACCTACCACCCACCATTAGTACTTCTATCTTGGCTGAGCTTCACTTTCTTGGCCCACATTTTATCCATTGCTGCATCATCAAGGTATAAAATACTATGCTCAGAAATGCTCATATTATGCAATAGCAGGAAAAGGACTGCTTAGAGGAAAGTAAGTGGGGTGTGGCAGGTTTGTGACAAAATCTGAGATTTTTAAAAAAATAAATAAACCTTCATATCTAGGGAAACTTTCATGAAAGGTAAATGCACCTATAGAAGACAGGTTGCATGTTCTCTTTTTTTGATTTCACTGAACTCTGATCTTACAGAGTTCTGTCATGATTATGCAATTAACACTTACCAATGGATGGTGGTATTCCATGTTTTTAGTGGTTAGCTAAAGAACCAAAAGAAGCACATGACCTTCTAGAAAAGCAAGGTTTCCTCTGTAGTCCGGCTATGCATATACATCTATAGAAATGGGTGGGCAAGTATACTTGTGGGATACGCTCCTTATTTTGAGAGTTCTCTTGGCTCTGTTAATGCCTACACCAACAATAACTTTGAAACTAGAAGTACTTTCTACTACTATGCAAGCCATATAATAGCTGCTTTGTATATGATGTGGAAGTGGTAGTAGAATGGAAACTCACAGTCCAACTGTATGCATGTTTGCATCCTAGGAAGTGCATTTCACTGAGTTCAATGGAACTTAGCCTTTCCAAGCTTCTGTAGACAGAGCTCTCACATACCGCCTGTGGGCAAATGTGTGCACTTCTGTAGCCAGTGCAGCATCTCAACATATAATCTGGGAGACGGTTAAGAAAGAGCGCATGCTGTTGAAGATCTGCCCCCAGGATAAAGAACGAAGGCACTACCTTCTGCTAGTTACTCGCCTAAGCAAGTTTTCCCAACCTGGTACCTTCCAGAGCTGTTGTGCTGCAACTCCCCTGGGCCCTGGGAATTGTAGTTCAACATACATGGAACACACATATTGGAGAAGGTTATTCATTCCTTGGGTCCCCATATACCTCTCTGAAGGCACAAGCTTAATCGAAAATGTCAGGGTACTTCTTCTGTCTCCCTTTCCTCAAAAGCTGTTCCCCATGATTACCTCCTTTTTGTGTGTCCCTGTGCAAACTGTCATCCTTGTTTACTTCCAGCCTCCTTCCCTCTCTTCTGCCAAGCAGTGATGCAAATCAGAAAATTCTGGGGGAAAAGTAATGGGAGGAAATTAGGTTACACCTGAGACAAGTTCAGCAGTCTGTCTCAGTGCAAAAATAAGCAGGACACAGCACAGGAAAATACAACAAAAGCGGATCATCAAGGCACCCAGGCACCTGTGTAATCTCTTATCTTTTAATGGCAGCACTTCCTGTACTTGGATTCAGTATGGGACTATTCTTGCTTTCTAAATTGTACCTAATAATGACTCAGTTATTGAAGTTTGGGACTGTCTCCAGTCTCTTAGGAGTCACTTTTCCACTGCAGAGAGATGGCCTTACTGACAATCCTATACCACTTGCTGTTTTCTGTAAAGCATTTTGTTTCATTCTCTCCAGTTCTGGCCCACCTTTGCATTCTCATGCTCCCCATCTCAGGCCTCTGATTTCATTTAGGGCTCACATGTGGACACATTTATAGTACAGCCGGTATGTTTTGCGAAGGTGTTGAGAATTTTCTGCTAGCTATTTTGTGCTGTTTCCCACTTGAATTCACAAATACCTTGCGAGAATTGTAATCTTGAGAGATCTTCAGAGATTCCAGGGAGCTGAAATTGAACAAGAAACTGGATTGGAACCAGCTTAACGTTTGAGTATAGATGTGCTCTTAGCATGAACGTGTTTTCACAGAATCGCAACTGCTTTGGGACAAATAGCCACATGTTCAGACTTCTGAGTCTTGTATCTTAACTTTGGTTTTTGCTCAGTTTGTGCCTTCACTCCTTGATGGGTTGAAGTCATATTTCGCAAAAGCTCTTGTGGTATGCTTGCTGTCAGTATTCTGCACATAGTAGCATTAAGCTTCATGTTCCATATTCTCACCATTTAAGAGCAGCCGGTATTGACCTCCCTTCCTGCAGTGGAATTTCAGATACCATGTTTACAAATTTAGCCCTCCATGGTAGTTTGCAGCTGGACCTTGGGCTGAGCTTGGAAGGAAGCCACTTCTGTAGCTGGCTGACCTTAGCTGTCTTGGAGCGCTGACAGAGCATTGCATCATTGCTGACCGCAAGAACAAAGCTTGGAAGAAATTCAGCATTTCTCCCATTTGATGAGTTACTTAAAATAAGTGTCTTTAGTCTGCCATTGAGGAAGAGGGTCTGAGCTCATTTGCAAGGGAGGCCGTCAAAAAGTCACTTTTGTTTTAAGGGTCCTTTTATTTGAGGGCTAGAAGTTTGGTGAAATTTCTTCTGGGCCTGAGGGAGGGGTAGAAGAACAAGATAGCAGCATGAAATGACGTAGGACCTCTCCTCTTCTGGAGTGTGGGCTGATTATATAATGTCTTGGGCTTGCTCTCCAACATCTTGAAACAAGGGATCTTCTAGAGTGTTTTCTTTGCATCCTTGCCACCAGTCATGCCTGTATGTACTGAGCCAGATGGACCATTCACTTCTTATAAGCCAGATGGTTGTAGTGAATGGACAATGCAAAAAGACTGGGATTTCAGTGGAGCCAAGTTATTTGAATGGACCATCTGATGGCAGAATAAATTGAGTTCAAGATTGGCCAGGGAGCCTATATGGGCCACATTCTTCTGCAGTGATGCAAGAGACAGATACTGTCATGGAACAGAAACTTGCCAAGAAGCAGGAGAGACACTGAATGAATAGGGCGGTCTTTAGGATGGCAATGGGGAACTCAGCCGTTTTGTGCTGGGAACATAATTCCTAAAGGGCAAACAACATGAAGAGGGAAGCTACCTTTGTTTCTTCATATTCAGCCCTATTTGCATATAAACCAGATGTGGCAGGGCTCCTTTTTACACTTAAAAGTTGCAGGGGATGTGCTGAATCCTCTTTTGCCTTGTCTTGCCTTACTATGCATTGCAGTCGAGGCTCTTTCCCTCCAACCCTGCTTGCTTCAGAGGTTCCAGAACAAGATCAATTCTGCTCACATGGACAACTTTTGATGTAAATCGTAGGTAGAAGGCAGTAAGCTGAGAAGTGGCTGAAAGCATGGAAATGCCAACAGCACAGTGTTAAGATACATGGTGTGTAAAGTAGCCCTCACCATGAAAAAGGTACTATGAGTCTGTCCCTAATTCTTTTCTTGCTGATTCTCTTGCTGATGTAGTACTAGTTTGTTTATTTGATATTCAAGCCATCTCATCCCAAACTGTGGGTAACTCCCTCAACCTGGCGTGGCATGGGAGAACCTTGTGGCATGGTAGTTAGAATGTTGCTCTGGGGACCTGGGAAATCCAGGTTCTGGTCCCCGCTCTGCCCAGAAGTTCATCGAGTGACTTTGAGCCAGTCATGGACTCTCGGCCTAACCTACCTCACAGGACTGTTGTTGTGAGGATAAAAAATAAGTGGAGGACAGTTAAGGAACCCACTGTAGATGCCTCACAAAAGGAAGAAAGGTGGGATATAAATGCAATCATCATCAACCTGCCTCTCCCAGAATCATTAATGATGGAAAGCCAATTATAATCAAGACATATTGCATTGTTTCTGTAAGGTGCTTTGCCTTGGCTTCCTCTTGGAAGGTTTTTAGACTGTCAGGGTAGCCACTGAAAAGTCCTTTCTGAGTGTCACATTCAGTATGGATTAGATTTAGATTTGAGCAAAGGCAACAGAGTTGAAGGAAGCTAATTTCCCCATCCCCTCTTTCCAATGATAGCACTCCCAACTCCCTGAAAATACTGCTCAGAGCATCAAAGCACCCTGCTGGATGGGAATGAACTGTGGTATGAAGAGGATGAGAATTGTGGAACATTTTCATCAGTGGAAGGCAGATCTTGAATCTAAACCATTAAATCTAAATGGACACCTGTCAGTTCTTTGGGATCATGGTAGATGTGATGGAAGAGTGGAAGAGGGCCAAAACAAACATCATCTTACCTCTGTATCTAGCAACTATTTTTTCCCATTTCTTGAGTAGGTGCAGACACCAATCCAGATAAGATACTAGTTTGCTGATGGGGGACCTTTTAGGATACAAATTGAGACTCCTGTGTGCAAAGTGCAGCTGCTAGACACATTTAAAATAATGTCTGTTTTGGCCCTGAGGTGTATTAGGCCATAGGCATTTGGGGCTGTGAGCAGCATCTGAGCTGGAAGGCAACTGGGAGCCACAGAGTTATTTTGCTGGCCTTCCAAATTGCAGACCAGAAGAGCTGTGAAAATAGATCTTCTGTGTATAATGCTTCATGCTAAGGCAGCAATAATTCAAGGACTATGGATAAGTGCAGATTGACCAAACACCTGTGAGACCCAGATCTGCAGATGTTATTAATTGTGGTGGCTTTCTGCAGGGAAGTATGGAGCGGGGGGAGGGGGGTGAGAAAGCCTATTAAACCCTCTACTGATAGAAAAAAGTCTTTTTTGATCCAGTTTTAAATGTACTCCAGGAAAGCTATACAAGAAAATGCTTGTTGGACCATTATTTGAAAATGGTTTAGTGCATAAACCATTTGCAAGTAAAATAAAGTTGTACTTCATTGAAAATTTTTCCCTTCCAGTTGCATATAAGTCACCAGGGTCAATAATACCACACAATGTAAAGTATATAAATCTACAAGAACAGTGTGTGGAGTCTGAAAGTACAGTTTTTAAAATAATATAACCTATTGCCCCATCAACATAAAACTGTTCTAACTATGTTTTGCGTATAAGCACAATAGTACAGTTATCATTAGTAAATTACTTGTAACTGCAAATCTCACAGACCTTGCAACCATAGCCCATGCTATTTGAGCAGCCGATCCACAACTGCTGCATCTCACAACTGCACAGTTATAGGACAGACAGTTACACAAAGCACTTTGTTGCTTCATTTTGCTTCAACCAAAGAGATGACACTTGCCCCTTTTGTCACTTGCCCCCTTGTCCAGTTCTGAGGCTGTCTTCATCTCCCAGGCAAATTGAAAAGGTTTTTAGACTCATTGCAGAGCTTCATCAGTTGCAGTCTGCTCCTGAAGATCAACTCCAGATCTATTAAGAAGATATATTTTGGGGAGACTGAATGCATTATTCAGTTTCTAATCAGTGTAGGGGTTTAAATAGGCAGTGATTTGAAGCACATGTAACACTAGCAAATGGTTTATTTAACCTATGGTGCATCCATGGTTTGTTGCCCTACCCAGGGTTTGTCTGGTGGATGATCGAACAAACCATGACTTGTTTTCTCAGTTCATGGGGTTATTGTTGAATTGGGCAAAGGTAGAGCTGGAAATAACTCTCTCAAGATGCTTCCAGACAAATGGTTCCTAGAGCTACTGATCTGAAGCCATCCTGCAGCAGTCGTGCTTAGCTTTCTTAACAGGTTTTCTGTGATAAGAAAAAAAGAATGGGATAACTATGAGTTACTGTAATCCTGAAAAGTTATGTGAATAAGGCAGAGTGATTGCTGTAAAAGCCTCATCTGGAAGCAGCTCAAATACCCCCCTACAAATATATCACATTTAGCAGGATAGTATACTATTAGCTTGTACTAATTGTGTTAGATTGGTATGGCAGTCTTACTCTAATTTGAATTTCCACAGCAACACATAGCTTTAGGATTGGACACTGAAGGATCAGTTGTGCTATTTTATACCCCAAGGCAGGTTTGGTTTTGGAGCTCAAGATCCATTAGGACATTGCTGTTCCCCTCTAATCTGACTCAGGATGAAGTGACCTGTCATTCTGTCTCCTCCAGATTGCAGGTTGTGCTGCTCCAGTTCACTGGAAGGAGGGTAGCAAGAACACACAAGCCAATGTCTTTATGGACCTGAAACCTGGCATCCAGAGCAACAGAGGACCAGCAGACCTCCACAAGCAGAGCCCTTTCAAAGCTCAGTTCAACTGTGACATTGTGCAGGTAGAGAAAAGCTTGGCAAAGGAGGATATTGGCTTCAGCATCTTTGTGAGGCAGAACTGTTGAAGACCATGGTCTGTTCTTCTTTCCAGAATTGCATGAAGGAGGAAGGGAGAGCAGTATTTTTGTTGCCAAGGTCTTTCCTCTGTTAGATGAAAAGAGGATGTGCAGACGGAAGGAGACAAGGTTCTTTGGCTAGAAGGAGGCATGAGGTCATCCTTGGCAAACTCTCTGTAGGACAAAAGTCCAGAGGACAGTGGGTTAGTCCACAGAGATCTGATTTCTTTCCCATCCTTTGTGGGAAAAGGGGCACAAACAGCCTCATGTTGGGCAGTGGTTCTTGAAATATAGGTGGGCAGATAAACATATGCCGTCTTTTGTTGTGTGACTTAGCAACGCTGTGAGTTAGATGACTATTATTCCTTTAGGTCAGGTATAGAATCACTTTCAGATGTGAGGTGGGATTGTCTCCACCACCAGGCCCACCATGTGAGATATGGAGAGCCAGTGTGGTGTAGTGGTGAAGAGCATGGGACTGGGACTCAGATGATCTGGGTTCTAGTCCCCGCTCAGCCATGGAGCCAACTGGGTGACTTTGGGCCAGTCACCGACTCTCAGCCCAACCTACCTCACAGGGTTGTTGTTGTGGGGATAAGATGGAGGAGGAGATGTAAGCTGCCTTGAGCCCTTTGTAGGAAAAAGGCAGGATATAAATCGAAAAATAAATAAATAAATAAATATAGCCCTGCCCTGATGCCATGTCACTGCCCTGTCATTTGTTTGTTTGCTTGTTTGTTATTCCTCTGGAGTCCAGTGTCTCCATACAGATGGAGCACCTGCACCTTCCAATGCCAGCCAAGTCCTTGGCTGCCCATGGTAACTTGGTCTGTGGGAGGATCCACAGGCCATATTAAGGAGCCTAGTGAGCCAGGGACTATGCTGGAGTCTGGAGTCAGGGATTTTAGCAATGGGACTCAGCCACTTTCCCCTTGCACTGCCGTGGTAGCTTGCCTTGGTAGTCAGAGCTGCTGGCTTTCTTCCTGCCGCCAACTCAGCATGAGTCAGGTGGCGTAACAGCCTAGCTGTGCTTCCCCTGCTCCTGTAACATTGCCAATTCTTGCCTAGCTCTTCAGCCTGAGTAATGCAAAGGTCAGGCACAGATTCAGCTTCTAGACTGGTTGCTTTTCTTGCCTGCTCTGCTTCTCAGCTCTTGCTGATCCTGGTAGCTCTGGCTGAAGATGCACATGGCCAGAGCATGTCTGGAGGTAGCCATTTAAGTGAGCAGCAAAGCCATGAGCTCCACAGGTGAAGAGCCACATAGATTAATAATCCATGTGAAGAGGAGTTTCAAGGTTGAGGTTAGGTCTGTCACTTCTCAGTGATCCAGGACTGACCATCTCACACAGCACTGTCTATTCTGACTGGCTGTGGCTTTCCAGGCATTTCCTCATCACCAGCAGCCTGATCATTTTAACCTGATATGTCAGCAGTTGAATTGGGGACCTGCTGCCTGCAAAGCACACGCTTTGGAAGCTCCACTGCCAGCACCCCTAATTAAAATGATCAGGTTGCAGATGATGGGGGAAAGCTGTGCTTGAGGCTGCAGCGCTTTTCCCAGCTGTTTGTCCCTTTTCCATCATCTTGATATTTTTCTGCATTTCAGGCTGAGAAGTGGGTGCAAGGAAAACTCCGAGACCTGAAGGATGGTTGCAGCATTCCAGAATGGGAGCGGGTAGCTCAAACCTTACAGAGAGACATGAAGGACTTTGAGAACGCCATGATCAAATTGAACCAGGTACAGTGACATGTCTGGACAGCACTTTAGCCCTGTAGGGAGCATACAGATGCAAAGAGACTGAATTCTGCTCACTACCTTGCTCCCTTTTCCATAGCCAAGTATATAGGGCTGCCTTTAGAAATCTCTTCATTTCTTCTGAGTTGTTTCCAGTGCAGTCAGTGCAGCAGCAAGATGAGATGGTCATAGATCCAACTTCTTCAGTATATTTCTTTTATATCCATGCTACAGATGGGTGAGGAACTCCTGGTCCAGCCGAACCCTGACGCAGAGATAGCCAGACGCCTGCAGACCCTGCGAGAACAATGGCAACTATTGAAACAGGCAGCAGCAAAGCAGAGCAAAGCAGTGGGTGGACTCAGGAGTCTACAAGAGTTCAACCAAAAAGCAGAGCAACTAGAGGCTTGGATCAGGCGGAAGGTACACGTCAGGGATGAGCAGGGCCAAGGCCAGACAGTGAAGGTCCCAAGTGGCTTTTCCTGTGCCCTGGCTAAGCTTCTGAAGACATGAATGGTACACTGATGCCTTATGACTCACTAGGATGCGGGTGAGCAGCATCGTATGGGCCAAGGGCCAGATGTACCACACATGTACACACTCTGACCTCTGGTGGGAAGAAGCCTTACCTTCACTGGAAAGATGGCGTGAGGGCGTGATTCTCTCTGTGCTCCCTCTTTCCCCGCGTGCTGGGAAAACAGCTGTTTGGAGAGCTAGTGGGGGCCTGGTTCTTCTGGGAAACGGAGCACATAGAGAAGCTCATCTTAACATACCTGTTTTCCAGCAGAAGCCTCTTCCACCAACAGTTAAGCTTGCAAAGTGTGCCTGAGGCCGCACTGGTTAGGTGCTCTGCTGCAGTTTAGCAGCAAGGTGGGCCACCCATAGTGGGCTGCCAGTAGGTCCTCTGGGGCCTTATGTGGGCTGTGTATTGCCTGCCCCAGCCGTAGGATCGGGGGGAGTCTGTCCCTTCATTACCATTACCTTCCTACCTTAGTTTTCCCAACTTTGGACAGTCCTTGGGCCAACATAGCAAAATGCAAGGGGTCTTCAAAAAGTTTCTGCACTTTTATATTTTATAAATTAATTTTTTTATTATTATTTTGCTGATGGCATTAAAGAGTTGGTACAGAGCTGGGAAAATGCAGCACAAAGGAAAGTGACTATGTAGAAAAGTGATGTCATTTGTTTTTGAAATTCTTAATAAATAGAGTTTTTAAATGTGTGGAAACTTTTTGAAGAACCCTAGTATGTATGTATGTATGTATGTATGTATAAATAAATAAATATTAGATTAATTTATTTGGTTTTGGGGATTTTTAGGAGGTAACCACATTTGGGGCCAATAAATAAATAAATATTAGATTAATTTATTTGGTTTTGGGGATTTTCAGGAGGTAACCACATTTGGGGCCAAGGAGGATCCCCCTGCCCTCACTTTGCTTGTAGTGAAAAGTTTGGTTAATCACCCTGGGTTACATCAACTGGTATCTAGGAAGGCATCTTCCAGAGATCTCTGCTTGTTGCCTGCGACAGTCTATCTTACCTGTGTCAGCCTGTGAGTAGCTGTGACTAGTTGTCTGGTTCTGCCTTTGTGCAGAGTGTTGGACCAGATGCCCTTTCACTCTTTTGGGTTCTGCAGCTCTTTCTTCTAACAGTTCTTACACTTAGCATCACTGGTACGTCAAGCAGGTTTGTTTTCCACAGGATGTAGGAACCACCCCTGGATTTGTTCACCCTTAGTTCCCACTCCAAACAGAATGCAGAAGCTTATAATGAGGGCAAGTTTCTGAGCATAGCAATATGAAACAGGAATTCACCTTTGGCACAGCCTTCCTGCTGATGTTGGAAGATAGACAGATTTGGTGCCCAGGGTCAATTTCTCCCCAGATCTAAACATAGTTATGTAGTAGGGTCTGCTGAAAATCTACAAGCTCAGCAGAGCTTGGTGAACAGGAGCTTTCATTGAACAGAAAGTGCTTTTTATTCATTTGTGATTGTGAAGAAAAAGTTGGAAGGATACTGAGAGCAACTGTTGAAGATTCAGAAAACAGAGTGGGAGCTGCAAAGGCCTTTTGGTGATCAGAGGGTATAGCATTAATGCCCTTCCCTTGCATCTCTCCTGCTTTATTTAATAATCAAACAACAATCTCTTGCTCTCTGTCCTTTCCTCATGTTACATTCCTTGACAGAAATTCTGAATTCCTCAGAATCTTGGGGTAGGGGAGAAAAGAAAACAATCCCCAGCACACACATACAGGCAAGCTTGTTTGATATGTGTACTTTCTATTGATTTCAGAATATGGGTTTCCTTGATCTATAAGATGGGTGTCAAACCTCAGGCCCCCAGGTTAAATCGAGCCCATTTGGGTTCCCAGTTTGACCTTTCAGGTTCCCCAGATGAGCCTGCCCTTTCCCCTGCCTTACTGATCATTTTGTAGTTTCCCAGATTTTGCATCTATTTCACATTCCATAAGTTTGAAATACCTCTCCTAAAGCAGCATTATTATCAGTAAGAACTTTAAGATAAAATATGCTGGTATTTTTAATAGCCCTGTTCCTTTGGCTTTCAGTACTACCCGCTTTTGTCCCAAGAGATCTTCCTGAAATTGAATTTCATGGGCTGAAAGAGGTTTGACACCCCCGATCTACAAATTCAGTTCTCATGTATTTTGAAGCAATACTTGCATCCTTTTGCAGGTGATCGTGATATTGCAGGCACTGGATCTCTCTTATTCTAATCATCTTTGTTCTCACCTCTAGGAAGAGAAACCATTGATAGACACCCTGCTACAAGAAAATGCAGACAAGATTCAGCTTACCCGGCGCATCCTTGACTTAAAACAGGTGAATAACTTTCTGACAAGCTTCATCCTGCTGGGAGTCAGGGGACATGCCAATAGGGGCCAATCTCTCATGAAGTCAAGGCTTTTATGAAAAGTCAATTTATGCTGTTTTTCTTTCCCTCTTTTTTCCCCCTCATTCTACCCAGGAAGAGCAGCAATTCCAGGTTCTTCTGGAGGAAATGAACAGCCTGGCTCACAAGCTTGAGAAGCAGGGGAAGAGTGAAAGTAGAAGCATCACGACTCGGCGAAAGCACCTCAATAAAATGTAAGACGGGGCAATAAAATGTAAGAGCAGTGGGCGCATGGGGTGCATCTAGTGACTGGCAGTGGCTCTCCTGGATTTTGGGCGGGATTTTTTCCTGCCCTGCCCAGAGATGCTGCAGATTGAATGTGGGACCTTCTGCACATAGAGTTGTTCCTCTGCCACTGATTTGCAGCCCCTCTTTGTGGGGCATGGATGGCATGAGGGTAGGTGGGAGCATCGTCTGACTTCATCTCCTTGACTTAAGATGTTGAAGATGCAGAGACCAAACTGCTTTGCCTGTTCCTAAGTCCCTGGGGCCCTTCTCCTTCCAGGTGGCTGCAGCTCCAGGGGACACTGAAGGAACATCACGAGACCCTGCAGCTGGCTCTGGAGGCAGCTGCTTTCCTCCAGCAAGCTGATGTTCTACTTGGGGCCATCCACGCAAAGGTACCGTGGACTGAGATTGTAGTCCAAGCCACCTTCTCCATGTTAACAGATTTAAAATAAGTAAACATGGCACTAGGTAACCCGGGAGAGTGTGCTTTGTTCAGCGAGATGCATCAGGCCGTGTTGACATTCTCTGCCCCCTGCTGTGTAGCACTGGCTGCTGTCACTCCACATCCAGTATGCCGGTCTTTGCAGAACCGCAGAGCACCGTCCATAGCCAAAGGAAGGCAGCCCCTCCCCTACTGATGACCAATTTCTGAGCTTGCCGTCCAGAGCTGATAGTTCTACCTTACAAAGGAGATTGGGTGACTCTTGCTAAGGGTGCGGGGTCAGCTATATTGTGGAATATGTACCAGGCTGTAGAATGTATTGCTGTGCAATACGAAGTTGTACAGTGATGTCACCAGCTCAGTTTTAGAGAAATCCAGAAATCTTGATCCAAGATAGGTATTTTTCAAAATGTACAGCACTAAGGAAAATTAAGTTTTGCTGATATTTTTATTACTGCAAAATCATGGTGCTTCTCCTATGATATATTTATTTAAAATATTTATAGACTACCTTCATTACCAAATCACAAGAAGTATACACAATTCATTACAGCAATTAAAATAAAATTATTAAAATGCAAAAATACAAACTAGAGTACCTCAAATACCTGGAGCCGGAATACTTTAGAGTTTCTTAGAGTGTGCAGCAGATGCTGCCAGGAGCAGAAAGTGATACTCCTTCTCATCTCTCAGGGTGGGGGCTTAAATTCTGTCATTTCTGTTGCAGTGGCGGTGTCTCAGTAGAGTGGAGAAACAGAGGGAACATGAGCCCAGCCCGGATGTAGATGTCAGGGATCTTGCCAGCCAGGTTATGGTAAGTGATGGGCATTGCCCGAGGATGATGTTTGAAGAGGATAGAGGGTTTTCAAACAGTGTTAGGCCTTTTTGTTCCTCTCCAATTTAGAGCTGCCTTCTTTAGCCTGGAGCTCTCCAGATGTGTCAGACTAGAATGCCAGTCATCTCCAGCCAGTACTGCCAGTGGCTTGAGTTGATAGAAGCTGTAGTCCAACAGCTCTTGAAAGTACTCGGTTATGGGAAGCAAGAGAAATGTGTCAGCCTTTAAGCACCAGCTAAGCAGGATGACCTGGGCACCAGCTGCAGTGCCAGCAGCTGGTGTCTGTCCTGCCCCTCAGCTGCCAGAGTCAGGTGCTCTTTGTGGAAGGCTGGAGGAAAGTGCTTCCAGCAGAAGTTCCCAAGTTCCGTGCACTGATCATACAGAAGAAAGCTGCGCCCCTTGCTCACTTGCACTCCCACATAAAGCACCAATCCAGCACTTTCCTGTGGAGAGGTTCTAGGGCAGCCATGTACATTAAGTCTGGGATGGGCATCTTCATGCCCATGGGTACCAATGCCCCATGACACCTTTCTCAGTGCCTTCCAAAGAGTGCTACCCCTTCCACTTTTTTTCCTTTTTAAATCAATACATTTCCTTACTGGGAGGTGGAGTTTCTGTGAAATAGGTTTCGGTTGCTGCTGAAAGCTGTGCTTCAAAAGAATTGCTTAGTGTGCTGGGACTTAGACCCCACTCTACCTTGGCCTGTCTTTAGGGCAGGTTATTTATTCTTCCCCATGCATCCATTGGCATCCATTTTGTGGTGGCATGAAGAACAGTACTTCAAATTGCCAGAAGTGCCAGTGGCCCAAGGCACATTAAGCTACATGGTGCAGTTTGGCAAGATGGGTCAAGGTGTGATGGCCTGGTCTAGGTCAGGGGTTGCTCAGGCTGTGCCTTTTGTGTCACTCCAGATGCTGGATGTGAGTGTGTCCCAGCTCACAAGCCTCCATCCCAGCTTGGTGGCACGACTCTCTCTCAAGCACCAAGATGTCAAGGAGAGCTGGACCCAGCTCCAGCAGCTGCTGAGGTATTTACCACCTCCCTCCCTCCCCATCTGCAGGATCTGGTCCTGGGCTGGCTAAGAATTAGATTTGTCAAGTGTTTGCAAGAAGAGGCCCCTTGGGGTTACTAGAGTTTACCTGCTTGTTTTTCCTGTGCTTCAACCAGGAACATGACATGCTGGAATTATTTGTGTATTTTTTTATTTAATTCAATTTATATGCCACCCCACTAGCCATAGGCTCTCTGGGAGGATTATATCATGATAAAATCCTAGACAGGATAAAAACAATGCAACACACAGCACAACACAGTTACAAAGACCAATATTAAAGCCATTAAATAAACAAAAAGAACAAAATAGAAATAGTAGAGCAATAAATAAAATATTTAAAATTCTAAACACAAAACAAATCAATTGTTGTTTATATCAATAGTTAGCTTTTAAAACATATCGGCAGCAGCATATATTAGCATAAACTTTTAAAACATTATTAAAAGTCAAGAATTCACCTGTTAAAATAACTGTGGATAAATATGTCTTAAGTAATGTTTTTGCTGAGATCAAAAAAAGCCTAACTTGCTACATTTGTGTATTATTATTATTATTATTATTATTATTATTATTATTATTATTATTAGAACATTTCTATGCCGCCCCTTGTCGAAGCCTCGGGGCAGCTTACAACACAATAAAATACAATACAATACAAAAATAACAATATAAAATTAAAATTAATAATATAAAATAAATAAATAAATAAATAAATATAAACGATATAAAAGAAGTTATAAAAGAAAAGAAAAGAAGAAAAGGAAAGGAAAGAAGTCGCCCTGGCCAGATGAATAAGTGAATATTGTTAACAATTAAAATGACGTTTAAATAAAAAGGTCTTCACCTGGCGCCAAAAAACAAATAACGACGGCGCCAGGCGGACCTCTCTGGGGAGCACATTCCATAGACTGGGCACCACCGCAGAAAAAGCCCTCCTCCGAGTACCTACCCTCCTAATTTCTTTCACGGAGGGTTCCCGGAGAAGGGCCTCTCCCGCAGATCTCAAGGGGCGGTCGGGCATATATGGATGTAAGTGTTCCTTCAGGTAACCAGGCCCCAAGCCATTTAGGGCTTTATAGCTCATAACCAACACCTTGAATTGGGCCCGGACTTCAATGGGAAGCCAGTGAAGCTGTTGAAGGACTGGAGTCATGTGAACATAACGCCCTGTCCCCGTCAGCAACCTGGCAGCTCTATTTTGAACCAACTGAAGTATCCGGACCGTCTTCAAGGGAAGCCCCACGTAAAGCACGTTACAGAAGTCAAGGCGGGAAGTCACCAGCCCAAGAGCCATGCATATTAAGAAAAATTTAATATTAATAATAAATATTAATAAAGGCCCAAGAGCCATGCATATTAAGAAAAATTCAGAAATGTGGTATAAAATGTTATTTAAATGTTCATGCCTTTTATAGTTAAATCTTTTGGAACACAAAACATAAATTTACCATACTATCTCTGAGATTTTAACCCTTATAGAAGTCTTTCATTCAGTGATATTTTCCCCTGATTGTGTATTTTATACGTGCAAGTTAAAAAGAGTAGTTTCTTTCCCTCTTTGCTGGTCAGACAAAACCAGCATGGGAAGTGCAGGAAGCTTAGCTGTTCACTGGCATGCAGAACTGAGATAATATTACACCTGTCCTGAAAAAACTGCACCAGTTGCCAAGCTTCTTTTCAAAGCCCTAAAGGACGTAGGGCCTGCCTATCTAAGGGAATGTCTGTTTCACTGTGAACCTGCCTGATTACTGAGATCTGCAGGAGAGGCCTCTTTGAGGTCACCGTTACTTGCAGAGGCCCATCTGTCAGGCAACTGTGAGAGGGCTTCCCCCCATGTTGCTCCCAAAACCACGGAATGCGTTCTTCCAAGAACTACGATTGCTCTTGGTCTTTAGCAAGGTGTTAGACCTATCTTTCCACTTAACCTTTTAATACGTGCAGTTTCACTGTTTTAATTGCTTTAAGTTGTTATCTACCTCCATGGTGGCTTTTTCACAAGTAAGAAAGCTGATAATAAGAAATTACCACAGGCACTTAACAGTCTTCATTGCTGTGTATGACTTAAGAAAGCTCTCAACCAAATGCTGGTGTTGACTCTGGAGTCTCATGGGCTCTCCTCCAGGTACAAGGCCCAGCCAGTAATTCAGGAACTGTGCCCAAGACAGCCACTTCTTGGAGAGAACATCCAATTGACCAGCAGCAGAATGGATTCAAAATAAGTTGATAGGAGTGAGGTGAAAGCGTGGTTTGGTTGATAAGCCGGAGGCTCTCCACCCCTGAACTAGCACAGGGTGCTGAGCTTCACTATGAACTAGTTGCTTTGTTCTTCCTCCCTCTGAATCCCCCTTTTATTTTGAGTTTGTGTGTGTGTTTTTCTTTTCTTTTAGATAGTAAGCCTGAGAGCAGGGACTGCATTACTGATCTTTCTAAGCAGATCAGGAAGGTTTTTTGGCTGGAGAACAGGATAAAACATGCTGCAAAGAAAGAAAAATAATCATTTACAACAGGGGTCCTCAAACTTTTTGAACAGGGGGCCAGTTGACAGGTGCCAGTGGTGGCCGCTGGCCACCAAGGCAGTGCCGGCAGGGAGGTGCAGGCTGGTGTGGGGGGGGGGGGTGTGCATGCATCCGCACACACGCGGGGCGGGGCAGAGATGAGGCGGAGGGGAGGGACGTGCGGGGCGAGGTGCTGGCTTGCTGGAGCGAGTCCAAAACGACCTCCTTGCAAGCAAGCTGCTGCCGGGCGCGTGCACAGCAAGGCACTGGCTTGCTCATGAGGAGATCATTTTCTCTGATCTAGTCCAAAATGATCTCCTCGCAAGAAAGCTGCCACCGGGCGCCAACTTGCTCATGAGGAGATCATTTTCTCCAAGGATTTCCAAAATTACCTCTTTGTGAGCAAGCCATGCATGCACCCAGCAATTGCAAAACCTGTGTGGTGGGCCGGTTAAAAGGGCATGGCGGGCTGGATCCGACCCATGGGCCTTAGCTTGAGGACCCATGATTTACAACATTGTTCAGAGAGCTAGGATAGCTGAGTGATGATCTGTACTTCCGTTCCTTTCTCAACTCTGTCCTAATCATTTTTGTTCTTTTTTTTTTATCATTCGCACCCATTCTCATCTCTTAGGAATGAAAAGCCCCCACTGCTGGCTTTGACAAGAAGAATGAGGAATTCCCCAAGTCCTGATCAGGCACTGACTACCACTACAAGCAATGCAGGGAGAGAGATGGGAGAAAACCCAGCATGGGGGGTAAGCAAAGTGTGTAGGACCACCCTTCTACTTCCAAATCTCCTAGGTGCATTGCAGTTACATTATCAGTCTGATTAAATATGTCTCCCCAGTTGCAAGGAACAGCTCATGGTTAACACAACCCTGAAATAAATGTATGATTCGGGAAACAATGCATGACAACAAACTCAATTTTCCTCTTGATTGCACGCTTGGCTTACTGCAGTACAATTTATTTATTTATTACATTTGTGTACTACCCTATAGCCCACAGGGCCCTCTGCTGTACAATATAAAACTTATACAGAACAATAAAAATCCAACAATAAAACAGTACAATAAAAACCACTAGAAGCAGTAAAAACCCAACAATAAATAACTACAACAGTCCATAAACTAACCCCAGGCACAGTAGCAATGATAAACAAGTCTAAAATGGTTATAATAAAATATTAATAAATTTAATTCTTAAAATGTCTGCTAAACAAAAAGTATTTTGCCTGGTGTCTAAAAGAAAACATCTGGAACTGACTTTGGAAAGCATCCAAGCACTACAGCTGATCCAAAGTAGGGCAACAAGACTGTTAAGGACTGGCTGATTTCAACATTTTAGACCAGTGCTGTAGCAACTTCACTGGCCGCCAGTCCATTTTCAGGCCCAATTTGAAGTCTTGGCATTAACCTGAAAAACCCTAACTGGTTTGGGGGCAGGTCATCAAGATCACCTCCTTGGAAATACATCTGCCCAGATCCTGAGATCATCCTTAGAGGTCCTTTTCTGCATACCCATGCCAAACAAGGTGAAGCGAGGGGCTGCTAAGGAGAGGGGCTTTTCTGTGGTCACATCTCAGTTGTGGAATGCTTGCTTGGTGCGTGCATTTTGGTCTCCCTTTGGTGCTAAATGAAGACCTTTTTGTCCTCCAGGTTAAAAACACAGGCTTGGGGTTTTTATGCTTATTGCATGACTACTGTTTTTTGTCTTGGTTTTTACTTTGGTTCTATTCTGTTTTAAACCTGTGGCTTTAATACTATATTTTACTATTTTATTTAAGTGTTCAGGTTTTGCTTTGTGAGCCAAAGAATTTTGGCTGCTCAGTCGATCTTATTTTAGATGGCCATGCTGGCCTCCCCTTGTTGGGCCAGAACCAGTGTCTAGGGTGCCACCACAGACAAGGTGGGCCTGAACTGCTGCAACCTTCTGTTGATAACTTGCTGGAGCAAAAAGCCGCAAGACAGCATATGATTTTTTTTTCTGGTGAAGACATGTGTTTTGTACTTGTTCTCCTTGCACTGCTTTTGCTCACCCAGAAGCTGTGAAGTAGAGCATGGATGATTGCTGAGCAATTGCCTAATTGCTTTCCCCATCTCCCAGACCATGATAACACTGGACTTTTGGCCTCAAGTAAACTTTATTGTGGGAAGAAGATTACAACTGGTGCAGGAAGGGGAGAGAAGAACTGGAGGATGAGAGGCAGCCTTCTTCCCTTCCTATGACTTTCTTCTACTAGATGTCATTGAGCCTTTGTGGAACATCCATAGTTTGTTTGTTCAAAGTGAATCACCGGAAATAGATTCCATACTGTTCGAGTCACAGCAGCCCTCCCTGGTGTGCTTGCAGACCTCATTGCACTCAGTGGCAGGATTTTGAGAAGTGGCTTTTTTTCTTTTTCTTTTTTCTTTTTGTCCTAGGCGCAGAAGGACATCCCGGAAAGTACGGCAGAGCATATGAGGGCCCAGGGGGGCAATTCAAGCTCACCAGGAAGGGAGGCCATCTCCAGCAACGGCAGGAGGTACTGGCAACCACAGTGCTCTTCTGAAGGACGAGCACTGTGTGGGAAGAGAAAAAAGGGGGCAGTGGGAATGTCCAGGCAGAGTCCATGGTGGAAACTGCTTGGTTGCCTAGCGACAAGTCCTGGTGGGTGAGAATCTTGCTCAGGTTCCCTGCAAAGGCTCTGCTCCCTGTAGGTAGATGAGCCTGGGGAGTCCTGGGGGTCTTGGTACTGCCAGGGACTCTCACCCTGACTGGCTATTCAATAAAGTATAATTTGATATCAGCACCAAGCCCAGGCCCTGATGGGTACCTTTTGGGAGTGCCGTATAGAAAAGCAGTGACGCCATGAGGTTGTGCTCCATCACTCAGTGGATTCTAGCTGAGCACAAGTGGAGCCTGCAACAAATACCACAATGTGGAGTGCGTTCCTGTTTGGGATGCTAGCCAGTCAGCTGTGCCCCTATTCAGGATATTCCATTACGATCCATTTCCCCCAGTTATCTTTTTTCCAGCAGCCAGTATTCCATGACCAGTGAGCATGGCACCTCCAGTTTTCCCCTTTTCAAGAAGTGCACTTCTGCAAACTTCGGGTTCCCCAAGTTTGTTGGTACCTCCTCCTCCTCCTTCATAGTTGGTCCCTTTTTAGTTATGTAAAAATCCACACTTATAGAAAGACTTCTCTGTTGGAAGTTGACCCAGGATTGTGGAAGTTGTAGTCCAACATCTCTAGAGGGTGCCAGATGGAGGAAGTCTGCAGTATAGAATGTGAACAAACACTATTACAGAGTTAAAGGCAATCTCAAATAATACGAATGTATTTTCTCCCATCCACACACATGTTCTTTATTTAATATGTAATAGCTGCTTCATAAACGTGCACTTTGTGTGGCAGTTATCAATAGATGAAAAGGCATGCTTGACCTCATCCAAATTCTCTGCTTCCTGTAGGAGGAGGAGGCTTCTGCGGCAAGCAAATACTTTGAAGGATCCACTCCAGCCAGAGGTCCAGCGTCGGGACTTGGGCCAGGTTGCTGGTGGGGTAATGTCACTCTGCGAACTTCATGGGTTTTGCAGGCCCCTCTCAATCTGCAGCCCTTCTGGATTCTCTTCCTGTGGTGGTACCACTAGCTTTCCTTAGGCCACTGGTAGGATTCCATCTGCAGCGAATAAGAGGCCTGGTCCACCTATGCAACAGACGAGACAGTGGAAGCCTGAGATAGGAGATTGAACTATCCCATTTCAGAATGGAAGTGGCGGTCTCACTTCCAAATGCAATTACTGTACCTTGCAAATAAAATATCAGTGCGTAAAGGGGGAAAGCCTATTCCCTGCTGTGCTAGCATTTTGGTTGCCGGGATTTCTCACTTCCCACTCCTGTAATGGAAACATTTGAAAATGAGATTTCCATTCCACAGGCACACTCACCTGTGGTCTGACATTACACTGCTTGTTCATCCAGCTCAAAAAACTGCTGCTTTCTTGCCACTTTACTCTGTTGCATATCTAGAGCAGGCCTTAGGGGGGGACTAGACTAGATATAATAGTGGTAGCTTCTCTGTAAGTGTTCAACTGCCAGTATTCAGGCAAAGGCCTCTCAAAGAGGTTTCCATAGAATACTGAAAGCTTCCATCTCATAGGAAGAGTAGTCTGGGGTCTGATTTAAGACTAAAAGAATTCACAACTACTCCTAAGAGTTCAGGAATAGGGAGCTTCTAAGTCAGACCATCCAGCCTATGGCCTCAGGTGAGCCCCTTGCCTTCTGCAAGGCCTCATCTTCTCCGATGGGGCTGGGGAGCATTCACATGGGGAGAGCACAGGGGGAATGAGCCCCACTGGGGAAACCTTGACACTGTGAGGCAAGTTCTTTGGCCAAAAGAGTTTTGGCACTTGCTTCAGCTAAGGATCTGAAGATGCTTGGGGGCAGCCCCCTCCCGTGCCACTGATGGGGCCACATCCCTGACATCAGCCAGCTCACTACATGGTCTGAGAAGCGTTGTAGGCCCCAAACCTCAAACCATTCCCACTCCCTAAGTTCTCCCTAATTTTTGAACAAGTCTGAATTCTTTCAAAATTCAACTTCTGACTCTCTCTGTACAAAGTAGGATTTTTAAGCACATGCAACTGCTGTCATCACATCTTGTTCTACCTCTCTGAATTATTATATTACTTACGTTTGTTTTAAGATACTTAGACCTTGCCTTTTCTGCTAGGCTTCACGTTGGATAGGAGCATGAGTTATTATTGTAATCCTCCTCATCACCATTTAAAACTATTTAAAATGCATATTTTCATGAAAAAGTGAAGATGCTTTTCAGAGAAGTTGGGGGCATCCCCTGACATTATCCAGCTTCTTGGATTGTTCCATAGGGACACTCCGTTCCCTGGAGCCAAAAGGTTTCTACCTCTGCTTAGGGTGTAACTATAGGGCTGACTGGGGGAAGGCATGCAGTGTGTGCAGGAGAATCACTGCTGCGATCTAATGTTCCTAGTGAAGGAAAATGGGCCTGGGAGGAAACCTCTGCAGGCCAGATAAGAATGTTTCATGCTGGCCAGAAGTTTCCAATCCCTCCTGTAGGCAGACTGGCCATTAAATGGGACAGAAGTTAAAGAAGCTGGGCCAGAAAGCTACCCTCACAAACTACCTGGAATTCAAAAGTAAAATGTTGCAGCAAGTTATTTGTGGCTGTTGGGTTAATGATGCAAATTGTGAGATTCAGGCATCCAGATATTTAAGAAGAATTTAAGTGCTTTTCGGTTGGCCAAGTTCCATTGGGAGGACTCTTACGGGTGGTAGGAGGAAGAAGATGGATGTGGGAAGGCCCATGTGCAGCCAGCTCCCACTTTCTGGTCAAGCTGCCAAAGCCATTCTCTGAATATTTTAAAGTGATTAGCCCATTAATGCTGCAGAAGAAGAGCTCCCTATTCAGGGGAATTACTTCTTCTCCTAGGATATATCTGAGAAAGGAAGAAAAAGGGCAGGAGCTTTGCATTCAGAAGACCCAAGGTTCAGCTCCAGGTAACCAAGTAGGGGAAAGAGCTCAGCCTCAGACCCTGAGGAGCTGTTGTACAACACTATGGATTGCAACATCCACCATTCTCACACAGATGAGTGCTTGATGGGGGTGGTAGTCCCACTGTTACCAGGAGGGTACCAGGTTGGGGAAGGCTGCTGCATTGACCAGACTGGATGAGACAGTCTCATAAGTTCATATGTGAGTTTCATATACCTTAGTGGTGTCTGTATGTTGTGCTTACCCTTTAGGAACTACAGCAGTTGCTGCGTGCTGACCACAGGTGGAGTCCCCAAATGGAGGATGCTCTGGAAGAGCTGGAGGACCTCTGGGCAGAGTTAAAAAGAAGGCACCAAGAGAATGGTGCAGCCCTCAGGGAGATTGACACAGTGAGTAGCAGGCACCACCGAAAGCAGAGTCTTGTTCTCCCCTTCCCTTTCCATGCAGCCCAATTTCCCTCTTTTGGACTGTGACACTGTATGTTTTCCCCCTTCCCGCTGGCAGCCGCCATTGATGTGGGATAGGGGCAGTGAAGTATACAATGTTGTAATGCAAGACAAATTTGCTTGCTGTTGTTGCAAAGCATGGGAGCGGTAGAATGAGGCGTTGGTGCTGGTTCCAAGCGACCCTTGGCAAGAAAATGGGCCCTCCCACGTTGCTGTTGCCACCGCTGCTGCTGCTGCTGCTGCTGCTCTCCTCTTCCTCATCACTGCTACCACTTGCTTGCTTGACAGGCAGGCAGGCAGCCAGTGAGAGAGCCAGCAGTGGTGCCTCCTGCACCTCCTCCTCACCTCCTCCCTTGTCTGGGCCAAACAAGAGGTGGAAAAACACGGTTCTAAAGAGGAGCGACTCCAGGGGACTCTTGTCCATGGGCCCCTGCTAGGGTGCAGGCCCTTGGCAGGTTCCCAGCCATACTCACCATGGGCGCTGGGGTGCTGTGTGTCTCCAGTGACATAGTTCCAGCCATGGTAATAGGCCCAAATGATTCGAAGACCTGGACTTCACTGCCTGTGAATTCTGTCCCTGAGATGAGTTGCGTTCCAATCTGCTAGTGTGTGTGCTCTGAAAGAATGTTTTTAAAAACCCAGATCAGTTTGTTTCTGGTCTATAGTTTCATTTTCTTCCACAATTAGAAACCTGGACCTTGGGATTAGGTGCTTAACTGCTTTCCTCCTGCACAGCCATCACAATTGCCAGAGCAGACCTGTAGCACTCTCTGTCGTGCCAGCCTGTACAAAAACCATCTTGGTCAAGCTGCCTCTTTCTGTTTGTAGGCTCTGCGCCTGGTTGGGGAGCTAGAAGAGGCTGAGTGCTGGCTTGGATCAGTGGTGGGGTTGCTTTCTGAGCCAAGAGCAACAAAGAGCCTTGATGACCTCCGTAGGGACCTGCAGAAGATTGGCACCCTGGAAAACCAGACTGGGGCCTGGAGGATCAAGCTTCGGCAACTGCAGGAAGAAATGCGAATGGAGCCATGCACAGAACACACCACAAGCACCATGATTCAGAGAAAGATGGAACGAGTGAAGGAGAAGTGAGTGCTTTTTGCATGGAAAATGGGCAAGAGCCTGGTCCCTGCAAAAGATAGAAAAAGAGAAACATTTCTTTAAGGATGAATAATTTGGAAGGAATGGCTCTGGGCACCAAGTAAGAGAAGCTGAAGTGGAGAGCCAGGGCAGTTTCAATCAATTTCCCCTCATTGCTGCAATACAGCCTTCTCTGTGTTTTGGATTATAACCCCCCAGCATTCCTGAGCATTGGCCATGCTGGGGCTGGAAGGAACTGAGATCCAAAACATCTGGAGGGCACCAGGTTGGGGAAGGCCACTGGGATGGGCTTCTCTTGCATCACTAAATCAGCTGAGCACATTTCTCCGGGGCTGTGGGATATATTTCTACCTAAATGTCCTGATTTTCTTTCCAGGCTGGTGAGTGTGCAGGAGGCCCTCCAGCGCCGAGCATCAGACATGCGTGATTCCCTGATTTTAACAGAGTTTTTGCAGGATGTGGAGCTGGAAGAGATGCTTAGTCAGAGGAACCTGAAGCAGGTGAGAAAGGAAAAAAAGATGGGCTGTAGAAGAAGGAATGGGAGGGAGTGGAAGAAGAAGTGCAGTCTGAATGCCTGCCTTCCTGTCAGTGTCTTCTTGTCAATATATTGTTGTCTTAATAGCTAGCTTTTGCTTGGACAGTGGGAGAACATGGCACATCCCAGTTCAAAATTAGTCCCAGCGTGCATGCTTCTGGCCGTGCTTCCTTAGCTTCAGGAGACCCAACAGCAGCATTCTGCCCTTGCTTGGGATTCATTGCCTAGCTCAGACCTCAGAAGCGTCAGAGCAATACAACAGTGGAACTAGTTTCCAGGAGAGGTGGTGGGCTCTCCCTCACTAGAGACATTGAAGGCAAAACTGGACAGCCATCTGAGAGGGATGTTATAATTTAGCATCCTCACCAGCAGGGGGTTGGACCTGATGGCCTTCTTGGCTCCTTCCAATTCTACTATCCTATAAATCTATAGAAAATGTGATGGCTGACAATATAAGAACCACTGTGACACATGGTAGCAATCTTAGAGAGGTTCACAGGCAAGAATCTTTCCCTTCAGTAAAAAATGGCTTCCCATATAGCCCTATCCAGGAATTAAGATGCATGCCTGGGGCATTTGCTTTCAATATTATCAGTGTTAAGATACCTGATGAGTAAAGTGTGAGGGATGGAGCCTTTTCTGTAGCGGTGCAGTGATGCTGGTAGGGATTGGGCCTATTCCTACAAAAGAGCCTTTAAAAGATGTAGGAACAGATGCCTGGTCAGAAAAGGAGAAGAGCTTAGAATTTGGAGCTGAAATGCCAAGGCCAGTGGACCCAAGATAAGCCAGGCTCATGCTGAGAATGTCAGTTTCACATACTGTGGGAAGCTTAATGAGAATCCTAATAAGAAGGAGGATGGTGCAAGCATGATTAATCCTAGAGAACGGCATCAGGCAAAGAGGGCAGAACAGCTGAGAAGTAACAGCTGCTCCGTGCAAGGGTTCCTTAAGAAGGGGAATCAGCCCGGAAGACATGCTTTAGTCATTTGAGTTTGGAAGAGGGAGAGTTTGGAATCAACTTCCTGTCATTAAGCCTTTTCTCAAATGGCCAGTATTCTAACTTTGTTTGTTGATTTTGTTACTGACTTCTGCAATTCTCTTAATTTGTATTTTAAAACCAGCCTGGCTTGCCAGTGTCAATGTAACAAAGCCTTTTCATTTGAAAGCCATTTTCTGGCTCTTCTTGGAAGGAGGAAGAAAATATGGTGGCAGCATCAAGAATGCCTGCCCAATCAGCACTAGTGTTTGGGCCCCCTCTTTCTGGCTCCTTTGTTAGAAATTGAAGACATTTTTATTTAATACACTTTTAAAAGTGCAGTTTTCTTGCTGCCAGTTTTAATGTGTAACACATTTTACCCTTGCTAATCTTAGGGTTGTTTGTTTTCTTTACACTGTTGGCTATATTACAGTTCCTTGTTTTTACTTTCAGAAATTGGCCATTCTACTTTTATAATTCTATTGCAAGGTTCTATGATTGTGCTGAATATGCTGGAGGTACATTTAGTAGAATAAATGATCATGACGACAATGATGGGGTGGCTTTAGGAAATCATGGTCCTTCGGTGCCAAATTCCTCCCCAACAACTTGGAATAAAGGCAGCTTCCTCCTAAGATTTCTGTACGAGTGAATAGAGTGGTCTGTGCAGATGTGCACCATTATTATTTCTGTGTGTGTCTTTCTTTAGACAGTATCTAAGCAGCTTGGTTCGGAAGCGCCCTTGCATCTCCTCACTGCACCAAGTGCTCAACAGCTGCGCGATGAGGACATCAGCAGGCCACTGGAGGAACTGCAGGAAGCAGTGCAGATGCTGAATGATGTAGCAAAGGAACGGGAGCGGGCCATGGAGGCAGAGACTAAGTTGGAGACTTTGACGGGTGTTGTGCAGGCCTTGAGAGAGGGAAAGGAAAGCAAGGTAAGGAGGGATTAAAATGTGCCATGTGCTGCAAAGCATCCTAGTGGTTGGAAGGGGAACTGCTGGAGGGACACATAGCCCATTAATTGTTTCATTTTTTTGGTTGGGTCTGTGACCACATAAGAAAGACGGACAGACAGACAGACAGACGGACGGACAATTTTTATACTGCCCTATAGCTGAAGACCTCTAAGCAGTTTACAGCAACACATAAAACAATACAAATGAAATATCTCTTGAGGTGTTGTAGAGCTTCCTGGCATTGCACAAGAAGCCAGGTAGAAGATTTGGTTTCTTTCAAAGAGATGAAATGATTGCCTATTGGAGGGTGGGTCTGCGCCAGCACTGCTGTGGTGCAGCCCAGAGCCTGTGGCTTGGTGTGTCCACTACTGCCTTCCACATGCGGCGAGATTTAAAAGATCTTTAGTGGGATAACACGTAAAATGAGATGCAGATTGCACCAGCTGTTCCCCCTAAACCCTGATACCTTTCAGACAAACTGCTGGTGCAGTGATACGCTGACTTTCATGCTAAGAAACCTGCCTTATGGGTGCAACATTATGCTAATGGGTGGGTTTTATACAGATTTAATAAACAAACAAACATTGGAGATGCAGAGAGCACAGAAGAGTTTGGGGTAGTCCAAGGTGCACACCTTGTAAAAATCGGCTTGGATAGAATGCCGAGGTGAAAGTGTCAACAACTTCCGTCTCAACAAGTCAGAGCAGTACGACAATGGAACCTATTACCTGGAGAGGTTGTGGGCTCTCCCTCACTAGAGACGTTGGAAAAGCATTTGGACAGTCATCTAAACGGGATGCTGTAATTAGTGCAACAGCAGGGGGTTGGACCCGGTGGCCTTCTGACCCCTTCCAACTCTATTACTCAGTGAGTGCTTGTATGTTCAGAATTTGGTAAGGGACTAGATCGCACTCTGTCAAGCAGCCTCGAATCCAGTGAACCACTCCTAAGCACTGCTGCCTTCTTTCTGTTTCCAGCTGGCCTGGGTCACCTCCCGGATGGACGCTTTGAGGGACAAGGCGGAGACCCTGGCTCAGGACATCCTCCAGGCAGAGAGGAGCTTTGCCACAGTGAAGAGCGAGCAGGATCTGCTGGAGATGCAGGGTCTGCTGGAACGGCAGAAGGAGGTGGAGGTGAGTTCCAGAGGGGGCTCTGGCTCCTGCAGGGATGAGGACCGGCTCAGCTTATGCTTCACCCTCTCCCACATCCCCTTTAGCTGTGTCTGCTCACTGTATGCTGCTGCGTTTGACACACGGGTGGTCCTCAAGGCAGTCTGGTCTTGAGCTGATCTCAAGAGGCACACCTGGGCTTTTAACATCGGATTGTTCCTGGTATGCAACCTCAGACTTGCTCAGGCCAGTCTGTCAGACTGTGTCTTCAGAGCAAGTGAGTGTCTGTAGTTGGAATATCCTATTCTGGCACTTACGGGGTCATTAAACTGAGAGTTTGAAGTTGTTCATAGGCCAGAGATCTGGGAGTTATGTGAGCTGCCAATAGCAGGCAACAATTGGACATGATTCAAGAGATGAGTGGTGTGAAATGCTTGTCAAATTTGCGCAGATGTAAGGCTGAAAAACTGGATGTGTAGCAGTGCTAGTGTCAGCTGTTCAAGAGCTCTGTGGGGCATAAGCTTTGTTTGATCACGGCAGTTTTGGGAAGCTAAGGTGAAAAGCTGTTCTTCTGCACAGGCACTGTTGTAAATTGTAGATGGGAAATTGTTGTGCAGATTTAGGTGTGGCCATTGATTCTGAGCTCTTTTCTAAAATGAATAAACATAGATCTGATGCTTGATAAACCTACCCTTTTGTGTGTTTGGTTTCCTAAAACTAGTAGAGAGATCCCTGCTTGCTCTTGAGCAGAGGTAATCATTTCTTCTTGGGAATAAATGACTACCTAGTTTATGCCCATGGAAAGTTTCCCTGATCTGAAACTTGTTTTGTGTTCTGTAGCACGATATGGCTGAGCTGGAAGGGGATATGGAAGAGTTGGAGAGAACAGCTACTCAGCTGAAGGAACACTACCCAGTTCAAATTTCTGATGAGCCCAGGAGGATTCTTGAAAGACTAGAGGCTTGGAAGGACCTGCAAAGGCTGGTGCTGAAAAATGCAGTCCTGGGGCAGCAGACAGTTCGCTTGCAGCAGTTTTTTCAAGACTATTTGGCCATGATGTAAGTCAGTGGCCCCTAGAAGTCTTTTCCTATCACTAAAAGGTTTGGTTGCAAGATACCATGAAATAAGATGCATCTCTTAAAAAGCAGATTAATTTCCCTTCTCAGAGAGCATATTACAGCTTTTTAAAGTTGCATACAGCTCGTATCATATATTAGTATAGTGAGCTTTACTTCTTGTGTGTTCTTTTGTACGTCACCAAAATTGTGCCTTGTCCACTGAAAAGTCATCCAGGAAAAGAGGGCAAGGGGATGACGTGGTGAAGGCCAGAATCTTGAAACAGCCCCTTGGAGAAACTTGGCTATCTTAAAAAAAAAAAAAAAAAAAAAAAACAACTTTCCATCTTCCTCCTAGCCTCTAAAATACTTGATCCCTATTACATGCCTGAGAACTATTTTTTCTACTTGGACAGCAGTCCAGCTAGTTTGAGTCTCAGGACTACTTAACTCCTAATGGAATTCTCACCTTCCCTCCCAACAAAAAAATCTTCCCATAGCTAGAGTGTAGACTATCACACTCACTTGGCAATTAGGCATGTATTATTTTGCTGCATGTCCATCTGCTGGGAAGTTGCAGTTGGCTGCAGATTCCTTGGGTTTGTACTCCTCTAGTTTGTGCAGCAAAATACACTCACAAACACACACAGTTTGTCAAACATAGTGATCTATTCATGGTTTATGCACTAACTTTTACATGGAGAGGCTTTGTGTGTAGTCTTTTTGCCTTGCTGGAAACTTACCACTAACTTTAATTCTTTGAGTGGTCATCTGTGCGTTCACATAACCCAACCTCTATCCCCACTTTGGTGTCAAGAAGACCTTATACAGGCGTGTGTGTTTTTTGGCACCGACTTCAGTACCAGCAGTGAATCTGAGAGAAAAAGTGGGAACCTGCTGCTGGTGAACAAGAGGGATTCCTGCCAAAATTCCTTAGCTATGGAAGCTTCCTGAATTGAAACGCGGCGCAGACAGAGTCGTGTGAATACACAGCTTAGGGATGTGTGAGGCATCTGTTCTGCAGGTGAGAGAGAATCTGTTGGATTCCCTGTTCTCAGCTCCCTGGATGCTGGTTTGCCTTGCTGCAGGTGTGAGTTTGCATTCCTGGCAAGCACGCCTAGCCGAGCTCCATGCAGATGCTGCACAAGCAGCATCCCTCTTTCCCATCACATGCAGCAGCCTTCGTTTGTGCCACACGTGATGCAGAAGAAGGCTGCCAGGAGTGCAGCCTTCATTCCATGAGCTTTTGCAGACTTCCCCTTGGCTCAGCTTGCTTTCCAAGAAAGGGCCAAGCATGAGGGGAAGTCCACAAATGCTAGAGGGATGGATTCGGAAGAGCTTCATTGCAACCCTAGATGGCCACTCAAAGACTGTTGCAGGTGAGCAACCTGGCTTTTTACTAAGATGCCTTTCAATGCTGCCTACAAGGTTTGAAGGAAATGGAAGCCATATCAATAGCCATAGAGAGGCTTGAAACAGGATAAGCTTTCATGCCAGCGTAGAAATCCTAGTTTGGTTATTAACTGAAAATATCCTCCAGTGCATAGATATTATGTGTGGCTTTGTTCGAACAATAAAGGATAAAGCTGGGCACTATCTGAAGAGGTGTTGCCATGATTGTTCTAGTTATATTCATAGCTGCTCCTTTTTTCTTGGTTCTCTAGCTCCTGGACAGAGGATACTCGGGCAAAGATCTTCTCAGAGAGTTTCAGCTCCCATGGTCTATCAGAGGCCCAGTGGGGAGAGCTGGAAAATAACATAGAGACTAAGCTCAAGGAGTTTGAGGAGCTGGCAGCAACAGGATGGGAGTTGGTAGCTGAAGGGCACAACTTGAGTGAGACGGTAAGCATGGAAGGCCATGGTACACAATGTCCTGGTAGCAAGGGGGGCCATATCTGGATTGGTGTTCCACATGTGGGCCCTATCCTTTTGTGTGTTGTCAGTTGCTCCTAAATTACAGCTGCCAGATTACCAGTGTATTTTGGCGGCACAGAGAAGAATTAATAGTGTTTTGTTTTAAAACAAGGCATGTGGAGGGGGGAGGCATTTGTTTTAATGCAAGATTGCATTTTCCCAGGACTTCTGAAGTACAATTTTGCATTAAAGCAAAGCTCACATTTTCAGCACATTTTTGTGCTGTTTCCACTGAAAGACAGCAACAATTCAACACGGGGTGTGTGTGTGTATGTGGGAGGGAGGGAGGGAGGGAGAGAGACTTTAATCAGTGGTGGATTCCAGCAGATTGGAATTGCCACCCCTCCAGACTCTCGAAACTTGCCCACCCAATCCCACAGCATCACAGTTCAGCTACCTGGTATGAACCCAAGTGCGGGACAATTGTTTTGCTAAGTAAATGTGTTTGTTAGGCACGTTACCTCTTCTGAATTAATGGCTCAGAGCAGAGGTGCCAAATAGTCCATCCACATTTCTGAGAATTGATGTAGTGAGAAGCAGGACCAGTCCATCAATTTCCGTGAAACTATTGTGGGTTGAACTCTCCACATGGTGCCGATTCCCCCTTCCCTATTGGCCTTTTGGAGAGATGTGTGTGAAATATCTTTGATTTTGGCCTTTTGTTGGCTTTTATTTGTACTGTTTCTTTCTGGATTTCTTCTCTCACTCTCTCTTGCTATGAATGCATTTTATTCCTATTGCATACTAGAGCACTGGAATACTCATGATTTGTTGTTGTTGTTAGTTGCGAAGTCATGTCCGACCCATCGCGACCCCATGGACAACATTCCTCCAGGCCCTCCTGTCCTTCACCATCTCCCAGAGTCCACTTAAGCTCACACCAACTGCTTCAGTGACTCCATCTAGCCACCTCATCCTCTGCCGTCCCCTTCTTCTTTTGCCATCTATTGTTCCCAGCATTAGGCTCTTCTCCAGGGAGTCCTTCCTTCTCATTAGGTGGCCAAAGTATTTGAGTTTCATCTTCAGTATCTGGCCTTCTAAAGAGCAGTCAGGGTTGATCTCCTCTAGAACTGACCGGTTTGATCACCTTGCAGTCCACGGGACTTGCAGGAATCTTCTCCAGCACCACAATTCAAATGCCTCAATTTTTCAGCACTCAGCCTTCCCTATGGTCCAACTTTCACAGCCATACATTGCAACTGGAAAAACCATGGCCTTGACTATATGCACTTTTGTTGGCAGGGTGATGTCTCTGCTTTTTAGTATGCTGTCTAGATTTACCATAGCTTTCCTTCCCAGGAGCAAGTGTCTTTTAATTTCTTGGCTGCAGTCCCCATCTGCAGTGATCTTGGAGCCCAGGAAAATAAAATCTGTCACTAACTCATGATTTAGAAGAGGCCATAGTTGGCCAGGACAAGAGGCAGGGGCACAAGCTGGCTCCAGTGGTAAAGAGGAAGAATTACCCTTAAGCACATCAAAGCCCATATCTAGAAGAAAAAGGAAAGAATGTAATAAATATCATAATGCAGCATCCCTGCTTCTTCTTACTTTCTGACTTTCATTCTGCCCTTAGATAAAGGAACGAATGGAGGAGCTGCAGAGCATGCTGGGATGGGTGATGGTACGGTGGCGAGCACAGAGTTCCCAGAAGGATGCTGGCAGCGAGGATAATGGCAGGGGGTCCAACAGAAGCACCACGAACTTGCCCAAGAACTGCCATGTTAGTATGCAGGTGCTGAGTGGCCTTCCGAGAACGAGGAACAGAGCGTGCAAACTCTCCTGCTATTGTCTTAGTTTTGTTGCTGTGGTAACAGCCATCTCTGAATTACAGAAGGAATGCTGATAAACTTTAAAAAGTTGCTAATCGTATGCACTGTAAGGTCCATAAAAAGCATAGGCGCCCCAGCTTGTCACTGAAAACATCATCTGTCCTTCAAGCTAGCTCATAGCGTATACAGATCTAACCACTCTGTACTCAGAGTTCACACACACAGATCATAGTGACTGACACTCATATAACAGATCTATTCTTTTCAACACCATATGTTACATTCACCCAATAGAAATCTGTGTTCTGGCTCCTAGATTCATTCTGTACAGAAGATAAATTTGAGCATGATGGCCGCACCCAGATGTAATGCTGAGCCATGGTTCAGCACTAGGCGCACGAGCAGAAAGGAGCCTGTGCGAAGCGCCAGTATATCCCCACTGCAGTACAAAGTGCTTTGGAGTGGCTTGGTCCTGAGCATACAACTAAAATTCATGGGGTTTGCCTAACAGGAGAAGCCATGGTGAAATCTTACTGTTGCGGGTCTCTTGTGCCATATGGACCCAGTTCTGGAGTTTCTGCATGGTAGGATTAATTTTCTGAACGCACAGAGAGAATCGGTGCTCTGTCTTCTGATCCTAAGAAATTGCATGCATGCATGTGCACACAGATATGAAATAACACAGGTACCTGCATTTTGGGGCTTTCCCTGGGGGTGTGGCCATGTGGATTATCATGGTAAGTGCCTGCAGTTTCAAATGTAACACAAAACGACTGATGACGGCAGCCTGAGCCACAGAAATCTAGCAGGTGAAGCTATAAATGCATGTTAAGCTTTCCCATAAGGTCAGGGCAATTTTTTAGTTGTCTGAATCAGTCTTTGAATCAGTCTTTGAGTAGATCCCAGTTTAGGGGAAGCACTAGACGAAAGAAAGAATGAAGGCACGTTATCACTGCAGCTCTGTTTTTTACTGTATTTTCCTACTCCCCAGATGCAAGTAGCTCCTGAAACTGGTGTGTCAAAGAAAGATGGTATCCTGAGTGCCAGTTTGTCTGAAGGGCATCCTGTTGCTCTAGGCTCCCTCCAGAATGGTTTGGCAACAGAGCAAGAGAGTGGATCGGTCTCTACTGCAATCCTGTCTACCCTCGATGTTCTCCCAAAACAGAAGTGGCGCCTGGAAGAATCGGAAAACCGTGTGCCCTTTGAGATGGACATGCCCAAGGAGACTCTAGTGCTTGAACCCTCAGAGACCCCAGTGCTGTTGGTGCCACAGCCAGGCCCAAGCAGCCTGGGTGGCACCGTGAACTTGATCTTGAGCCTTGGGAAGAAAGCGGGGAGAGAGGTTCTGGGGAGCCAGGTGGGAGCATCACCAGCAATGGGACAGGAGGCTGTGCACAAGGTAAGGCACAACTACCGTCTGGCTGTAGCATGGGTATAGCTGTGTATCGTCCTCACTATAATAAACAGATTTTCCCTAGAGCAGTGGTAGGGATTGTGTTGGGAGTTGTTAGACTGCAACTCCCATCAGCCTTTGCCAGCATGGCTAACAGTGTTGGATTTTGGGAGGTGCGGTCCAGCAACATCTGGGGGGCATGTATTCCCCATCCTTGCTGTAGATGAACAGGAGGCAAGATTTTCTGTAAGAGTGATCCAAGGGAATTCCAAACTGTTCAGGCAGCAGGACTGTAGTGAGAAGTAGTAGGGTTTTGTCAAGCTTCCTGGCTATGGCTGACGAGTGGAGAACTTGAAAGTTCCCAGCTGCATAGGGGGAAGCTCTTGGACACTCTGGATCAAGGAGACCAGAAGCCTGCTCATGTAAACAGTGGCAGTGTTTACCTGAAGCACATGCTCAAAATTCCAGCACATCTTCCAAGCAGCTCCAGTGCCTTCTTTTAGCACATCCTCTTTCTGTGTCAGGAACTGCCTTTCTTTACCTCCATCCTTTTCCTCCTGGCTGTTTAGGTCATCCTTGCTATTCCATCACTTTTCTGTTTTTGTCTCTTTCTTTTCAAAAATCCAGTACCCTGAAACTAAATCCTCAGCCTGTAAAACTTTCTGGAAGCGTTGCCAGGGGCTTCTAGGAAATACTTTGGGTAGTTTAAAGAGAAAGAAAAGGCCACCCCACCGGGCCAAAGAGGTAAAATTGCTGCAGGAGTGTGGAGTGTGATGCACAGGGATGCATGCTCAGCGGAATGGCTGCATGGTGCAAGGAACCCTTGACTAACCCATACTAGCCGCATTCCAAAGGCAGCTCCTAAATCCACTGCACAGCCATCTCCCAGGTGCTGGAGGTGAGGTCAGGTGCTTTTCCATTATCCCCAGGACAGCAGGGTAGGAAAGCACGAATAATCGGAATATACACTGCAACTTCCAGTGTGGTGTAGTGGTTAAGAGTGCAGATCTGGGACTCAGGCAATCTAGGTTCTAGTCCCCACTCAGCCGTGGAGCCATCTGAGTGACTTTGGGCCAGACTCTCAGCCCAACCTATCTCACAGGGTTGTTTTGGGGATAAGAGTAAGAGCAGCAGAATGATGTAAGCTGCTTTTCGTTCTTTAAAAAAGAAAAAAGCCAGATATAAATCTAATAAATTAATAAACTTTCATCTGAGCTCCTGACATGTCCTTAGTAAAGTCCTTATTGAATTCTCTAGGGTGAACCACAGAGTTGCCACACACAGTATCAAACCAGAACAGAGAATTTCCTCCAGCAGCTTGTCCTGTCATAGTTTCTAAGCAGAGAGAAGCTGCAGCTGCAGAAATTCCTGCTTTTGCACAGCTCTTAAAAGCACAGAGGCTTACTGCCAGCTTCCCAGACTGCCAGACCTGGGCTTTAATATGCATCCAATGCAGCAGGATGTGGAGTGGTGTTCTCCGACACAAGCAATCAGAATCTACTGCAGTGAAGGAAAACAGAAAAGGAGTTTAAGGCATACATGATGCTGAGGGTGGTTACTAGTTTGATACTGAGCTCCTTTTTGAACTTTCCTTTGAAGGAACTGAGAGCTAGGAATGTACTCCAGCACTATAGACGGTTTGAACTAAGTTTGCTGCAGGAAATGGCGTACAGGACCATCTGTCTTTCTATCAATTACTTTGAATTATTCCCATAGCAAGGATGGTTTGGGGATAAGATCAATTATGAGAATACAGAACTATAATATATCTCTTTACTGTCAAGTATCTTTGTAACCATTCTCATATTAGCAATCATAATTTAAAGTCTTTATTTATTAATTATATTTGTATCCTGCTTTTTCTTCCCCAAGCTGGCCTGTTCCTCTTCCAAGGTAGCTCAAATGGCCATTTCATCCTCAAAACCCTTTGAGGTGGGCTAGGCTGAGAGTCAATGAAACTTCATGGCTGAGAGGGGGAAAGAACCTGGATCTCCCTAGTCCCACTGCAAAACTCTAATCGTGCCACCGCGCTTGAGGCAGATGGGCCAGAGGGAAAGGAAGCGGGAATTTTGCTGCTACAACTGAAGCATGTTCTAGTGCAGAGACTGGGCAGCATGTATCCCTCTAGATGTTTATGCGTGTAAGTGCTATGCTGATTAGGGCTGATGGGAGTTGTAGTGCAACAACTTCTGGACAGCCACAAGTTGCTCATTCCTCCAAAACAAGGCCTCTGAGACTGAGCATAGAGGCTGCTGCTAATCACTTTGGAAATGTGGGCCCTGCCTCTGCTGTGCTTAAATTCTAGGCTTCTCCTGCAGCTGTGATGGGACGGAGAACCCTTATCAGGCTAAGGCTTTGGGTGCTTCCAGACAAAGAGCTTCTAGCTCCACCAGCCAAAAGCCAAGATGCAGCTATTCAGTCTTAATGGATTTTTGTGGAAGGACTGCATGATGAAAGTGATGCTAGACATAGACCTGCAACTTTTCATGAAAGAAGCAGGGCAGCTGTATGGCAATATCCTTGCCTGGAAGTACCCGTGGTTGCTAGCGTAGTCCCTGATGTGTCAGGGAGGAGAGCTTCCTGCAGATCCTTTTTCCTGACATGCTAGCTTTCTGTGTTGAGGGAGCTTTTTTAACATGATGGGGAGAGAACACTCAAGCATGCAGCTGCCCATTTGTAGTCCGAGTGATTACAGTGCAGGACTATTCCTGCACATTTGAATGGGCCTTGAGCTGGCCTCTTCTTCGCTATTCTGTTTCCCATTATGCTGGACTCCTCAGCGGCTAGCCTAACACTGCATGCCAGGTTCTGGATCCTCTTTTCCAGTTGCATCATCCTTGCCAAAGTGGCAAGGGGTACACCTAGCGACAGTTGAGCTCCTTGCTCGTTCGTGATGCGCTGCTCTCCTGCTAAGCCTGCTCGTTGTCCCAGGGCAGTGAAATGCAGCGAATCAGAGTGCTTCAGCGTCCTTGAATCTGCCGTGGAGTTTCTGCTCCACTGGGCTTCCAGCATGCATGGGGCTTTCTGTAATGAGTGGGCAGGAAGGAGCAAGGCCCAGGACGTGCCATGCCGAGCCTGAGCCCTGTGGACTCCAGCTGGGCCTTCCCAGGCTGCCCCTTTCTGCTGATGGCCGATCTGCTAAGGCCTTGTTCTTGTCAGCAAGAGCTTTACGTTAAAATATCCTGGTATTTTTGGCTCCACCCCCTTTGCCTCCAGCCACACCCACCAGCAGAATGCAGGACCTGAGAGAGTCTCTGCAGCTGAATTTGGTCCTTGAGCTGAAAGGGGTTCAAGCACCTTGTTGCAAAACAGTAGACATTTGAACACGTGCTTGCAGGAGTGCCATCCAGGATAAGTACATTTGGGCTTAAGCGCCTGTGTGCAGCCAGACCTCACTGTGCCATCCCTCCACTCCACAGGTGAGCACCTATTTGCATGTGACGGAGAAGGATGGAGATAGAGATGGCGGGATGTCCCATGAAAGCTCGACAGCCAGGCAGCAACACGCACCTAAGCAGCATCTGCTCAGAGCTGCCTCTTCCACACATCCCAGTACTGGGTGGGGCCCCTCAGCCTTTCATACTTTGCCCAAGGTCAGCTCTGGCTGCTTCTTGCAGAGCCTGGCTAGAAAAGGTAAAGCGAAGGCAGGAGATGCCGAGCTGCTCACCTTGCAAGGGATCTTGGGACCCGAGCCAAATGCCCTGCAGATGGTATCAGAAGAAAAGCCCAGCACTAGCAGCACCTGGCCTCCGAAGTGCAGCAGGTGGGCACAGCGGCTGCAGGCCCTGAGCCCACCCCACAGAGAGCCTGCGGACTACATGAAGAACCCTTTGGCAGGGGCTATCGATGCCGAATGTGGCTCAGCAGAAGCATCAGGACAGCAAGTGTTTCCAAGGCAGAGTGGGGGTCTCAGCAGTCCCCAGTCACCCCCAGAGAAGGTCCATACATGCCAGCATCTTCCTCTGGGTTCTGTCCTGAGCCTGGAGCTCCCCAAGGACCCCACTGCCTTAAAGAATGTGCATGACGCCATCAGGGTAGCAAGTGATGGGGTGACAGGAAGGAAGGGACAAAGCCAGGCCTTTCACGTGGCTCAGGAGAATGCTGGTGGGGCCAAAGCACAGGCGAATGTGCAGAGGAGGGCCCCAGGAGGGCAGCTAGCCATGCACCAAAGGCCCATCCAGGCAGGGGACAGCCAGCATGCACATCCCAAGAATAAGGAAGGCACATGGTTTGAAGAGGTGAGCCTCAATCCAGGCTACAACAGGCAGAAGGCTCACTTCGTTGCTCCTTGTGAAGAGGATGGGCAGAGCACCAAGAGGCAGAGCAGTTCCAGCGATGACTTTCAGGATTTCAAGCAGAACCGGTTATCCCGTATCAGCGTACTGCATGAGCAGATAGGCTGGGAGTGGGACAAACTCGCTGCCTCGCTGGGGACCACTGGCAGCACTAGCGAGGTGCAGGCAAGAGATCCAGGTGCCAGGGAGGCTGCTTGGGTGAAGCTGAAACCCTCCCCGGTGAAACATTCAGGTGGTGGTGGCGGCACTTCCCCCACTGCTCGGGCAAAGGACCTGCCAATGAGCAAGACACCTGAGGAGGAAGGTCCCCCTTCCTCACTGCCCCCGGGATTCAAATCTCCCACCAAGCTGTCTGTGCTTGAATGTGCACGAGGCCAGCAGGAAAGCATCCCAGGGTCCTCAGGGCTGGGCCCTCTCATCCTGGCTGCAGGAGGGAATGTGGCCGGAGGACCAAAGTTTCAGGACATGGCAGAGGTTTGCCATCCTGCCCATGAGTTGTTTGAAGAAGAGGAAGAGGAGCTGCAGGCCATATGGAGCAATGTGGAGAAGCACAAGAGGAACACAGGTGTCTGTGGTGCTCCAGCGAAGAAAGTGGACAAGGTACAAAGCCCAGACAACTCTGGGGGAAAACTCATCCTGACATCAGCAGATAATTTGTTGGTGGCCAAGTTCAAGCTTCCTTCCTCTGCCCTATTGCTGCAAAGCTCAGAAGGAGAAAGTAGGACCAGCAGTGGACTGGACAGGAAGAGCAGTCCAAATCGTTGCTGGGCATCTATAACTTCATGTGAGGAAGCTTCCAAGGGGGCAGGGCCCTCTCCCATGGTGCCCCTGCAAAGCAGCTGTCCAGTCGACCAGCAAAAGCTCCAAGAGGAGAGCAGAAGTCTTGGCAAGGTCAGAATCACTGGCTATCAAGCTGGGGGGAGGGGGACATTAAGTTCTAGCAGCTTTCTCTTGCCTGAAGTCACATTTTTACTGTTCTTGCTCACTTATTCCCAGATACCTTGAACAAAGAGACTCACAGATAGAAATCCTTTCCTTCCTTACAGAAAGGCCTACGACCTAAAGGCCATCAGCCGTCCTGAATTGACCAGGATACGTTTGCCATTAATCATCATCATACCTGGCTGCTTTTCTGGCATGAATCTTTCAGATATATCTTACAGTTATATATTAGAAATATATTTTTAAGTCTGAAACTTGCATCAGAATATTATCTCATGTCTACTCATAGTATAGCAGCAATTCTGTTTGCTGTCAGTAGCACACTTAACAGAGTAAGCTGTTACTTGTTCAAGCATTAAGTGCACTCATTTGTTACACCTGAACAAATGCAGATATTATTGAACTAACTTCAATAATAGTGCAAAAGGAAGTTCCATTAGAAGAAATATTTCACTCTTTTGAGGAAAGTGGTGTTAACATGTCTACATAAATGGGTCTCTGTTGCTAAGGAATAGTTTTTATGCTTTCAAGGAAGCTTCTTTCTCATTTTCTATTTCTCTCCAGATTCCTCCCAGTAAACTTGAGCTGCAGATGATGGAAGGATCCCTGGAAAGGAAGCATCTGCTACAGCCAGGAGGCAGAAAGGTATTTCAGAGCAGCTTGGCATTATCTGTGAGAGATGCTGCGGGGAGGGGAGTCCTCTTTTCATCTAAACGAATGTGTTTGCCCCCTTGTCCATGTGCACCTTATTTAAGAATTGCTAATAACCATGCAATGGTGAAGCATCACTGGTATTTTCCTGTACTATGTTATCAGGGCCTAGTGATATGCAAGCAGATTGGCTCAGCAGTGAGTTAGAGTTAGACATAATGCTAAACCAGGATCTGATCTTGGATTGCAAAGCAAGTGGTAACCAATAGTTTGCCATTTAAAATGATTTTTTTGAATTTTGTTTCTACAAAACAATGAAAACAAAACCATATAAAAGAGGAAAAGTATAACTACATAAACCTGAATCTATTATTATATCTATTTGTACAATTTCTATACTGCTAAATACTAAGGAAATTCCCTAAGTTTAGTAAAGGCAGAGCAGCTATTCAGGTATGTATTCATTTGGGACTAATGTTTATATGCTATCTGTTCAAACACTGAAAGGGTTGTTAGGTCTTTGGTCTAATATTAGTCTTGTAGCAGTTAATAGGTATAGAAAATCATCTTATCTCGACCATGCATTAACTTCCAGAAAGCAAGTAGATAATTTAAAAGAATGTGTGCATTGGTAAATACTGTTTCAATATAAAGTTTACCAGATTAAAACTTCCTCCCAAAAGGAAGCAACTACTGGACCTTGCCAAGACATATGATTTGAACGAAGAATAGTATCACACCTCCAGCAGTTAGCTTTTTAGACGAATCCTTATTAAAACGATGTGGCATTTGACAGAGGAATTCCATGTATAACATAGACAATTAGAGGTGTAATATTCAACTTAAGTGCATTAACCTTACTCCACACACTCACCCTCAGTGTTGCTCATCTGTCTATTTCCCATGGAATCCCATTAGTCAGTTTGCCTAAGTTGAGCTTAATCATTTGAGATACATTTCTTAGGATAGGCATTCCTATATGAACAATAAGATCTAGGCATCATTGAAATTGCCAATTAGCTAATACAGTATGTGATACATATATTGTCTCCAGTTGGCATCAGTTCACATTTTGACCAATTAATCAAATAACCAGACAAGTCACCAAAAGAATTGGTGCATCAGCTGCATCACAGCTGGAATAGACGCCTGCCTGGATTTGTGAACAAAGCCCAAACAAACAATTAGATCATCCCCATGAAGAATTTTAAATTCTAATCAGTAATGCGCAAAGCCATGAATATAACTATTCTGTCTAATGGGATATGGCAGGGGTTTCAAACATAGATCAGATATCAGTGCAGAAAGTGGACATCCCAATCTGGTAACCTTCCCCTGTGAAAAGAAAGCATAATAAAAAAAGGGCTAGTCATAACTCGTAACTCCAGGGATTGCATATAAAATGTTAGCTATTTTAAAAGTTCACAAAGAAAGCTGAAATAATTCAGTGTAGCAAAAATGAATTTCTAGTGAACTTTTGTTAAAGTCCTTTTCAGCATTTTGGTCTGTTCTGTGTGAGTTTAAAGCTATTAAACATAAAATCCTGTGCAAATTGAGATAGAAGACCTACAACTCCCAGTTTTTTAAATGTATTTTTCCTATTTAGCTAAACTTTTCTCTGTCTAAACTTGCATAGTGTACCCGAGATCAATAGCTAATCTGAGTGATCCCCTCTCTATATTTAATCAATCCCACCTGCTGTGATTGAACCAATGTTGTCATAACTTGTTGCAATCTTATCAGGCTGAACTGCAGTTGATATTTTAATATCTAAATTAATGAAATAGGTTGATGGAGTGACAAATGATGCTTGCTTCAGACCAAGTACGGAGGCAGGAAATTGTCACAAGCATCATACAGGCCCAAACCTCCTCCCTGCTTACTCATGTAATGCAACACCAAGGCTCAGTCCAAACACAACCAGCCACATGGTGCAAGTGTCTAAGGACTTTCTCAGTGGCTACACCCATGTATACCTTAGGGATGCCTTAGTATCTCTTGCAGACTGCAAGTAGAAAGGTACAGTCCCATTACCTTGGCTTTGCATCTGCTGCTGGGGAGAAGCTGATGTTCTCTTCCCATGTGCTGAACCACTGGAAGAAACTCTTGGGCGATAGTATCCTACATTAGCCTTCAGGGAAGGGGACCCCTGTGGAGACAGGCAGATGAAGGACTTCATACATAGTTTCAAGAACCAGCCAAAATGTTCCCTAGCCCTATTCTTCACCTTCATTAGATGTACCTTTTTACTCCTATTCTCCTAGGCAAACTGTCGTTCCTGGAATACATTCCATACAGTGCTGATGAGGCAAACTTTGTGTTTCTACCAGGACAAGAAAGACACTCTAAAGGTAATAGTAGCCAGTGGAACATCCAAAGGTGTGTGTGGGGCATCACGGAGAACGGAGTGTAAAAAGTCCTTTACCTGATGCTCAGCAGGGCTCTTCCTTTTCCTTTCTTGTGTCTGTTTTAATCCCACTCCAATTCCATTGCCATCATTTTAATATCCAATATAATCCTTCATCCAAAGACTTTTCCTTTGAATGTTCAAGATACATAGGGTCATTTTATACTTGGAAGTATTATTTCTAGATTTTATTGTGTTTTTTACTGGGGTTTTTTTCAGTGTGTGGGTTTTTATTATATGTTTTATTGTGGCATGCCACTTTACAAGGGCTTCTGTCCTGAAAAGCAGCCAATAAATATTTTACACACACATTTTTATTTATTTACTGTTAATATACCTATTTATAAGCTACTACAAGCTACAGTCAAATCAGATTTAACAATAGCTGGCAAACCTTAAAACAACAAAAATCAGAATGTCGCCATAGAATAATCTGTAGAAGAGGGAGAAGGAAGCTTAGTATGGGATCTGTACTGAGTGCATTTGTGTTTTGTATGGCTGCCATTTTGAAAATGCAACCCACACACTTGTGAGCATGAGTTATGCAAAGGTTAAACAACTCTTGCATAACCCATGGTCTGTTTAAGACTTACAGAAAGTTTGCTTAACCATCCCATAACCCATGCTTCCCAAGTTCACAAAACAAAAGCACCACCTACTGAGAGTTGCATGATAAATCACAGATGCTGTCTGAAGGCAGTCACTGCATACCATACCTTATTAAAGAAGGGATCACAAAGGAGCAAGTTAAAGTAATTCTTTTCTTTAGATTCCACCACTATGTCTTCTGAAAACATGCATTTAATGCCCCACCTTCAGAGCTCAACAGTCAACCTTTTCTTGTATTAAAACCTGTACCCAGTTTTCTAGCTTAGTAATGACCAGTCAGATCTTGGCATTGCGGCCCTGATCCTGGCTAGGGGAATGCTTGTTCACATGGAAACACAATTCTGCTGGCAAGCAGCCTTTCAGATTCCAAGGACCTGACGATTTGCCTTCCTTTGCTCTGCAGAGCTCTGTGATGGCCTTGCCACTGAACCTGTCTGGAGCTGTTTGCACCCTAGAAACAGAGTATACCAAAAAGAACAACTGTTTCACACTACAGTGAGTAGCCTGTTCTTATATGCATCGTATATGCACAGTCATATATGCATCTGGACACTTCAAAGCACTAACAAGTATGGAATAATAGTTAGTACAGATTTTTAAAGGGGGATGGATACCTTTAGCATGCTGAGACTGGGATGAAGAGACTTAATGAAATGCAGTCCCCTGAACAATCTAATTGGTGTTGCCATACCTCTGAAGGATTCCTCTTTTAGCTGTCCCAAATAGTTGAGCATTTGAGGCTGGTACTGCCCATTCTGTTAAAACCATCACAATACTTTTTGCTGATCTCCTGTCTTACGCCCAGATTAAAGGATGGCTCCAAGTACCTCCTTCGAGCTCCCACCGAGTCACTCATGAAAGAGTGGATTACCAAATTGCAGCAGAACTCTGGTAAGGCTGAAAGGAGGGCACTGGCGGTTCAGTGGGGGAGGAGATGGCAATCTCTCGGCACCAAAGACTGTAGCTTTTAATTTTCTCCCTCAGTACATTCCACCGCAACTGATCCTCATATGGGGTGAGAAGTGGGATTAATGGTCTGCAATATACTGAGATCTGCTGGCCTGTAGGGATTTACACATGGCCAGTTGGGGCTCAGATTCCAGCTTAGCTTACAATGTTTGGTGCAAAACTCTGATCCCCCAGTCCCAGTTTCTTGTGGGTAAACACAAGAATAATAGTTGTCTGTTCAAGGGCTACTTTTTCACATTGGGAACACAACAAAACAGGTACTTAAAATGCACACTTTATTCAAATATCCTCAACAGAAGGTCTGCAGCTCCTTGTGCAGAGAGCACAGCTGTCGGCCAGTGCAGGTTTCCTGCTCTGTAATGTGTGGAAAGACCCATGTTACAGGTTTGGGAGGAGAGCACTTTGCCCATGAAAAGTACTTCGCATGTGTCTCAAAAGCCATCTGCTAATGGCTGATTTCCTATGCTCCAAGGTTTAACTGAAGTGGATTATTTCCAGTCAGCTTCCCAGACAGGCCAAGGGATGACCTCTGCAGTTAGGTAAGTACTACACAAAGGTAGTTTTTTGAGCTCTGTAAGGTTCCCAGTAACAGTAGTCCCACACTCAAACAGATCTTCATAGAAGTAATTCAATGACATTTTGTCATATCTCAGTACAGTAGATAAAAACCAGTATGGAACTTTTTGCTCTGTACAGAGATACACTAAGAACAAGATGCTAGAAAAAATGGCTTTAATCGAAAAAAAGAATTCTTAATTCTAGAAAATGTATCCGCATGCCTGCCAGTTCTTGAATGCATAAGACATCTTCCAGAGTGCTCCGAAGGCTTTCTTAAAGGTACCTAAATATGGCCCCAAAGAAAATCTAGGCTGAAACACGTTGCTTCCACTTAAGAATAACGCAATTTTTCTAGCACCTTGAGACATGTTCTCTCTTTATAGATTTCTAGTCCATGCTTTCTTGGGTATATACACTGTCCATATACAGGCTAAGTTAGGCTTTCAAACCTTCCAAGGAGGTCAAGTTCAGCTTCTCTGTTTTAGAATGCAATAAATGTTAATAGTTACCCTGCAAATTAGTGTGCACTTTTTTCTGTCTTACAAAAATGATTAAAAAGAAAAAGAAGCTTAAGGCTTAGATGTGCATTTAGATGTATATGAGGCAAGGCCATTATTTACCCTGTTTAGGGAAACCTCTGTTTTTCCTTCCCGCCTAACAATTTTGACTTATGTGGCAACACCACCTCCTCCTTTGGGCCACCATCATAATGTTCACATGCATTAACACTCATTTTGCTGGATTTTCTCAGCTGCATAGAAACCTTTAGTGAATCAAATTTCATAGCTGGATATTTACTTACTTACTTACTTACATGTATTTATAGGCTACCTATAATTGCCAAGGCCTTCCTAGGCAGCTTACAATGCATAAAACATATTGAGTAAAAACACATTAAAACCCAATTAAAACATAATAAATTAAATATCTATAAAAGCAATTAAAAAGGGCCACAGCATGCAGGCTAAATGTTAAAAAAAATCCCAAAAAGTTACGCTATGGCAGGGCTCTAAATTCTGTGGCTTCTTTTACTTTGGTGAAGGAGTCAACCTGGAATGTTAGGCTAGCATAGGCGGGATCTGAACCCAGCTCTTTTCTTTTCAGTGTAATCTCTGGCCATGGAGTTTCCTCCCACTTCCTGGGTCTTAATCAGAGCCTTTCAGCCAAGACCCAGGAGGCCCTGCATCTCCCCAGGTCCAGTGTCAGGCTGCAGTTGCCTTACAGGACTCCGGATGACCCACCGGATACAACAACAGCAGCACCAACAGGTAACTGGGCAAGTTCAAAGCTTTTGGGGGATTCCCTTTTGCACCTCCCTCAACATCCCTCAGTATCAGTTGAGTACTGCCAGCCACATGGCGTCAGCTCAGGTGCCGTGGGAATACATTCGCTCTGAAGGTGTTGCTGCAGGAACGAACAGACCGGAGCCCTCTGTGACTTGGTGCTCAATCCGTTCTGTCCCCTTGGATCTCAGGGGAACTGCAAGGGCAGCAGACTCCTTCATGTTTGCTTGACTGTGCTGACAAGGATGTGGAAGGGCGTTTCTTTGGACTGGCGCTTCTTGCATGAGAGAGGAATGGCCGTTAGGATTGACTTTGTAGCTGTGACCATGGAGGTCTCTGTAACACGGAAACACAGAGCTTGCCTGTGGAGCAGGAGTGCTAAACTGCTTTCCATCCTGGGGGGCCACTCAATTTCAAAGAAACCCTTGCGGGGCACATTCTAGTGATGGGTGGAGCTGAAGCCAGAAGCAGGGCGGGGCAAAAATGCCAGTGATTAACATTGAGGAAAGGCACTTTTAGAGTGGGAGGGAAACTCTGTAAAATCCAGAAACCACCAGCATGCCAAGGAAAAGGGGGTCTGGCTATCTGGGAAATGTGGTGTGATGGGTTTGGGACGCCATAGACCAGGGCCATGGACTCAACCCCTCTGCTGCGGAGGAATCCAGAAGCTGTGCTTCTTCTAGACACACCTATGGAAGAACAAGTTTGCAAGACACACAGTTTCCTTTTCCTTTTGGCCTGCCTCTAGTTCTCCAGCCTCTTCCTGGTTTGGTGGTCTCATCCTGCATCAGTTCTGAGACATTAGCAAGACCTATATAATTATCCCACATCATTCTCACGGTGCATGCAAATAATTTCTGGTAACTTGTCTGGGAAGGGAAAGGTAGAATTGGGACTCTCCCCTGTCCTTTTCAAATAAAATTAATTGCAGTGGGATTTTTCCCCTACATTGAGATTTGGGTAGGACGCTGCCATGGGGTTGCCCTACTAGTTGGAATTGTCAGCATGCCTCCCTGCACATTGCTATTAGACTTACCACTTTCCCTCAAACAAGCCCATTAAAATCCAGTGCCTAGACTCACCTGGTCAGGGTAAGTTAAAAAAAAAAACAGTGCTGGTGTCATTTAACCTGATCTAAACATTACAATCAGATTCAAAACCTTTTTGGAAGGAAAGATGAATGCCGTGAATGGCTGTGGCATGTTCAGAAGGTTCCAGGTTCATTCTGCAGCACCTCCAAGTAGCGCTGGGACGGGCCCTTGCCCCAGACTCTGAAGAGCTGCTGGCCCTCAGTAGAGACTAGCTGGACTGGAGCGCTGGTGGACTATGAAGCAGCTTCCTATGTTCACACTTAACAGGACTGATATGAAATCGGAAATCTGCACACATTGCCAGCAGCAACTAAAAGCCAGCAGTCGGTTGAAAAAGTTTTAAGACAGCAGCAAAACATAGATCGAGATGCTGCTGCTGCTGCTACTACTACAATAAGAATAAAAATTTAAAAACTGGCACTTCTGTCTAAAAGAGATGGGGCCAGCTGACTCTTAACTAGGAGAGTGTTTCAGAATGGTGGGAGCACCAGGAAGAAGGGTTGGCCTCTCGTGGCCTGGACTCAGCAAGCAGGAAGCAGAGATGATCATAAAGCCCAGGCCAGCCTGAGTGGGAGTGGACAGTCTGTAAGGCAGCCATTCTCGTGCTGGCTGGACATAGCGGCATATGCCAGCCCAACATGTGCGCAGGGTGCCAGGTTGCGTGAGGAAGGCTGCATTAATGCAACCAGCTCCGACACTGTTCGGAGCTTTGAAGGACGGCCCTTTTGCATCAGTGCCTGTGACACTACACTGTGTTATGGGATAGAACAAAGTCACAGCACAACAGGGGACTCGGCTGCCTCTTTTTAAAGGAAGGAATCCCTGAGCTCAGTCTGTGTTGCAGACTTCATTCGGCTTCTCTCTCCTCGTAGGAAGCAGTCACGGATCCGCTGCTGTTCATACCACAGAGCACGGTCTGAGGCCCTGCTCGCCGGCAGAGTCTACAAGGTCACAAGACTCTTACATCTGCCAGGAAGAGGACGGCGGGCTGGTGACAAACAAGAGGCGATCATATTCCTTCACATCAGGTGCGTACTGCGTGACTCTGCAGTGTCTGCATGCCAAGGCACCTCCAGGCAGCCTTTCTGGCGTTGAGTCACATGCCCTTCTGTTATGCGCAGGGTAAATGTCTGTGACTAAATGCATTTTATTAGGACCATCATGATCTCATTGTGCTACTTTCAGTGCTTGGCTGAGTCCTTTCAGCAATCAGTCAAGGTCCTTTGCAAAGAGACAAGTTCAGTGCTCAGTGCCACCACTAGGGGCCAGCAGAGCACTTCTGAGTCCAATTCACAGTTTTCCTGTGGTGTGTGCAGTGCTCACATGAGAATTGTTTTATGTGCCCATCATTTAGCTCTGAAGGCAGATGTTCAGTAAAGGAAATGTAACTGTTCAGATGTGGCACCTGGATGCTGGCATCCTGAGATTTCTGTACTGAGACTCAAATGTCAGAGAATGGAAACAGACTTGCTTTGGTGGCTACTTTAGGAGGAAAGAAGGCTGGGATGCCGCACAGGCAAACCTGCATATGGCTGAGACTTCCTAGAACAGACTTCCACAACCTCATACCCTCCAGTTGTGTTGCACTACAACTCTCAGTTCCCCAGCAGCCTGAACAATGGTAATGCTGGCATGTGGTCTGACACTTCTGGAGGTGCAGCAGACTGGGGGAAGATGGCCTAGAAGGACTCGGGTTCATTTCATAATTACTAAAATACGAGATTAAGCCTTCTGTCCTAAAGGTTCTTTAATTCCTAGTTTGTGTCCTGCCTTTCTCTTTCACAATGAAGTGCTTAAGGTAGAAACAAGCATTCAAAAATTATTTCTGGAACCAGCAAGGGACTATCAATTTTTTTAAAAATATATCTTTAGGAAATGACAGAAAAAGTAAACACAGAAGGACCATGGATCCTTGGATCACCCAGGGCAGCGAGTTCCACATGCTAGGTGCTATAACTTTTTTTGTTCCTGCCAGCTACAGGCTTTTGGCAGTGGTAGGCTGCAAAGAAACATCTCTCCTAATGAAGGTAATAGGTGACTATTTCATATGAGGGAGCAACTTGTTCTCAGGCCATTTAGGGCTTTAATGCCCAGAACTCTGAACTGTAGCTTGATAGTAGCACATGCTTACTCATGAGAGGAAAGCACTCTTAAACGTGCACAGAGGTGAGGCAGGCAACTACTACTACTGCTGTTGTAGTTTTGTTTTACTAGTACTATTACTACTGCTTCGCATGTTCCGAAGTGAAGCTTTCACACTAGAAACCATTTCTGGGGCAGAGACAAAGCACAGCTCAGTTTAAACAATGCTTTTTCTGAGTCCCCCTGTTAGCAGATGGGATGAAAGTGATATCCTAGAGTTAGAAGACACTGCCTACCATAAAACACCTATCAGCCTCCATCATATCAGAAGAATTCTGCTGCTCGTTATCTGTTCATGTGGTTGGACTTATGCCCAATGTGTTTTTCTCTCCCTCAGCTACATACCAGAAGATCACACCTTTGTCCGTGTCCAAAGAAAACCCGGGGGTTGGCAGCAGCTACTCGGTCACACTGTACATTGGAGAGCAAGCACCTGCTCCCCCCCGACCTCGATGCCATTCTTTTATAGCCTCCCCCAGTGGGGCCTGCGAAGCGTTAGGTGAGAGAAGCCAAGGTGCCTCACCTCGCCAGAAGAACAAGTCCGTCTTCAGAAAGTTCTTTGGGAAGAAAGACTGAGACACCTGATTGTTCCCTTTAAACCAGCACTGAATCTTCCTTTGACTGAGCCTGATGGCTACTAATGAGCTCTGTTACATTTCACCAGCTCTTAAAGTTCGCCCTCTGCATAAAGGGCGGGATGAGCAAGGAGCCAGAGGTCGGCTGTGCTCAGTGAACCAACCTCTTCAGCCTCAGCGCTGTGCTTCACCTGCTCAACCCTCCTAGGGCAGCCATCCACGGCGCACCAGCTGAGTGGGCCAGAAGAGGCAAAGGAAAACCCATTCTTACTGTGGCAGAGTGGTATATGCCAACATCATTTGGGCCTTTCTCTGTGTCGTTAGAGCACGGGCTTGCTTGGACGTGGAAGCCAGCAGAGGAAATCAGGCCAATACATTCCCAGGCACATATGTATTAATACTGTATTTGTATTCAAAGCAGAATGGATGGGGTGTCATGTTTGCTTCACTGCCTTCTTAACATGTTTTCATGATACATGATGGGATCAAAGAAGAAAAGGTTTCCTTAGGCATTTATCCAGGTATGGGGCCAGCCAATTTATATTTTACTTGATCTTGTTCTTCTGCCTTTAATAGACCTGCCCATTTTGCATATATTAAGAAGTAATAATGCTTCTCTTAATGCTGAGAAAAGTTTCCTCTCCTGCTTTCTGCAGGTAGAGCTGCCGAATGAACACAAATGCATAAGCCAGTTTTTTTCTGGTCTGCTGGCAAACCTATTCAGACCCAGGGCCTGAACTAAAAGCCTAAGGAAATATTCCTTGAGTAATCTGTACAGTACTGATTTTGGTTTAGCATCTACCGGAACCAAGCTGGTGGCAAGGTGGCAGAGGTTCTAGGAAGGAATGCTTTTAGAAATCCTGAAAAATAATCTGTGTACTAAACCTTTTACTGCTCAAGAATACAGTGTGGTGTGCTTCCTCTGGTGCAAAGAACCCCGTTGTCCTGCTTCCTTTTCTTCTGCACAGTGATGTCTGGATTCTTTAGTAGCCAGTTGCATTTCCTCAAGAGACATTAACACCACATTAAATTGTTTTGTGTGCCCTGTTTTCAGAGTGAATTGGGGTTAATTGAGTTACACGTTAACTGCCAGTGAACCAGCTGCTGAGCCTAACTCTGATCTAAGGCCCCCTGGCACACGCTGCACTTCGGTTAAAAAATGGAAGCTCCACTAGTGGCTTCCTACATGGACCAAAATAGGAAGTTATTGGCAACTATCTAGAGCAGCTTGGTGTCCTCCAGCACTGCTGTAGTGTAAACTCCCACCAGACCCAGTCAGCATGACCAATTTGGTATTATGGGAGTTGTCCAAAACTTCAGGAGGGTCCCAGGGTGCCTACCCCGAATTCTAGGACAGGAAGGAGGACGTATGTAGGAGGTTATAAGGAAGACGCTTGGGACATAACTGCTGCTAGCCCCTGAGGCCAGGAGGAAAACTCAGCATCTGCCTGCTTGCCACAATACTGCAGGGAGAGGAGAACTCGGTGGGCACTTTCCCTAACATGTTAAAGGCATGCCGCTGTGGCCTGCCTATGTGTTCTGGGGGCCATGGGACTATTCAGAGCCTGGGCTTGCAGGTCCTGAAACAAACCTTAGAGCTGGGACTCTGCAAGGCAAGCACCTGGCCTGTCTCTGCTGCAGCCAGTTCAGAAAGGGCCACACCATTTCCCCGGGTCACAACGGAGCCTCCAAGAGGATGCAAAGGGAAGAGAAGGCTTCTTGCAGCAAGCAGGGGAAGAGGGCAATTCTGTTAGCTGGTGCCATGCATGTGTGGCGCTGACAAACAGAACTGCCCTCCCTAACAGGAGCTTCACATGAGCATGGGACTGACAAAGGGCTGCAGCAGCATGCAAGAGAAGGAGCAAAGCGAAGCACCAGCTTCTCCTTTTCACTGTCCGAGTCCTTTTGACAGCAGTAGCAGTTGGCTGCTTCAGTGCTGGTTTGAAGCGACCCAGTCCCTAGTCTTACTTCCAAGGCCAGAGGGTAAGGCAAGCAGAATGGATTGGCCCCTCTGCCTGGCAGAGGCAAAGGGTGGAAAAAAGCAGAGTCTCTGAGAGCTGTCCAGAAGTGCCGTTTCGCACTCTCCGGTGCTGCACTGCTCTCCACAGTGCTCCAGCAGCAGCACCTGGGACACCTGTGGGAGAACCTGGCAGGGAGGAGAAGGCATCTTACCCTCCACTGTTCCCAGTTGTTGGTCACGGGAATTTTGGGCACAATGCATGGCTAGAATTCCCCAAAGTGCTCCTCTTATCTTCCAAACCCAATCAATAAATATATAATATAAAGATTGCTCCAACTATACAGCATGGTTATAAAACAGAAGAAACTAAACGAGGTAGAATAAATACCTTGCTCAGAAATAGAGATGCACTTACACAGAGGGCAAAATAGGTCTCCATCCAACAGCGAACATGTGGTCCTCCACAATTAGCTGGCACACATTGGTTAACAGGCATGACTCTCCTTTTTGGGCTTCATTTCAGCTCTGACATTAATCTGCTGTTCTCTCTGACTCTTTGTCTTGGATGTTGGCCCAGTGCAGTCACTTGATTTAACAGCAACACCAGGGAGTCAACAGCCACGCTACTAGAATAAGAACAGTTGGAAAGAAGAGCTGTGTACTCTTCAGAAGAAACCTGATGCTCACCATTGCTTCTCACTGCACACACAAACCAAACACCAGCATTATCACTTCCTTTGGGCCACTTCACACAGGACAGAATTTTCTGTGCAGGAGTATAGTCCTGCAATGGAACTTTCACGGGAGTACCACAAGTAGGCCATGTGTGAATGAATGTACTTGTGTCACCATGTGTGTTACAGAAGCAATAAGATCGAGTGAGCAATGAACCAGCAAGCCCCTGTTTCAAAACTGACCTCTGCAACAAGCTCCTCAGGTATCCACAGGCAAGCCACTCAGGCCTCAGTGTGGGATTAACAAGAGCACAAGGAGTCCCAGTGATAAAGTGTCTTGGCCTCAGTGTAGTAACATCAGCCCACAAGTTACCCATATAAGAGAAGGTAAGTGCCATTTCCTTTGCTATTAAATTATCTCAGCTATCACTTAAAGCTAATTTAATTTCATAAATCAACTGAGCTCAAAACAAGGATAGAGTAAAGGGAGCTAAATCCTCAAAGTGTTAACCTGCTACAAACTCATAGATGGAAGCTCAATCTAGCAGGAACTTAACAGTACTTGTAGCCTTACTCTAACAAATTGCTGAGTGGTTATAGAGATTCTTAACCACATACTTGACTCAAGTTTAGAAAGGGATGAATAAATACACATCTATACTGACAAGAGCCTACCTAGGGGAAGGTGCAGCTTATAAACAAAAAGTGTAGCCTAACTTCAGCTTGAGATCAGTGTAGGCTCAAGTTTTAGGTCTGTAGAGTCATTCATAAACTGAAGTTCAGAAATAGACACATCCCAAGTTTGAGAGTTCAGCCTACCATTCAGTTTTAGAAGACACACAAGCCACAGCTCTCTAATGCTCTCCAATCAGATTAGGTGGAATGGCAGCCGGACCGAGCTAGCTAGAACTGTGTAAGGAGACCGACTTGCAGGGGAGACAGCCTTGGAGTTCAAGGAGCCCCAGGGATGATGCACCTCTGCCCCTGTAGCAAAGCATCAGCACTTGTGCAAGCTTAGCAACAGGACGAGAAGGGAATCAACTCGTACCTCCCTTCCCATAGCAACTAACTATAAATAACTATAAATATAAATAGCATATGTAAATTCCCCAACTTGCCCTAGTAGTTTTCTAGATAAACGTCTCAATCTCAATAAAAAGTAAACCGAGTATTGCACTGAGTTCCACATGGACAACTAACTGCTGGCTGGAGAGGCACAGTGGGTGAGTGCTGCTTATAATGAGCTGCTGGATCTCAAGGGGCTTTTTTCCCTTTACAGCCAAGGTTGCTAACCTGGAGAAGCTATGAGGTAGAAAGGTTGGTGGCTGTGACCTCAAGGACTTGATCCCTGGGTGACAGTTCCTCTGCTGTCATGGAGAGGTGGTCGGTAGGGAGCGACTTGGAGGAGGAGGGTATTATTCTGGGGAAAGAGGAAATGATCTCTTAGAGGGCACCGATACCTCAGTTGATGAGCAAATCTCCTCTTGCACCAAGGATGTGCCAGATGGTGGCTTGTTGTAGTGGGCAAATGATCATTAGATACAAAGATAATTTTGTGATGGACATGTAGACCACATGGCAAATAGCCTGCCTTGTGCAAAGGCAGCAGGCATCACACACCACCCAGATAGCTGTGTAAGCAGTGCTGGGGTGGAGTCAGTGGTCTTCATAGATGTTGGTACCAAGGAAGTAGGGAAATGTAGTCATGAGGTCTAGGAAGCAAAATGAAGATTCCTAGGTAGGAGGTTGAAACCCAGGACCATTAAGGTGACTCTCTCTGAAATATTATCTGTTCCATATAAAAGGCCAGCTAGATAAGCCCCAGGATGTCTCAACACATGGATTGGATGGTGGCTCCACTTGAACCAACATGGAACCAGACTGTTGGTGGAAAGCTGTAGTCTCTCTGCAGAAAGCTAAGAGGAACTGAAAGCATCTAGTCCGCATAGGCTAATCCCTATCAGATGATGATTAAAATGTCCCTGGATTGTCCAATTATACACAGGGAAGAAATAGGCCATGAGAAATGGTTAAACATGACAGGCAAAGTGCCAGAGACATCTGGGGAGGGACACTGAATATATATGTTTGTATGCTAACACTAGACACTTCCAAGTCAGAATGGGAGACTTCAAGTGCCTGGTTTTAAAGGAGAACCAAGATATAATGGGCATTGCAGAAGGCTGATGGAATGGAAAGACCTAGTAGGATACAGTCACCTTTGGACACGAGCTCTATAGGAAGGGCAAGGAAGTGCATACCGAAGGAGGTGTTGCCTTGTGTGCCAAAAAGGGCACAGTGTTGAGCAGACTAGAAAAACCTAAAATGGCCAGTCTTTTTCACAGACGTGCTGTGGGTGCCAATTCCAAGCACCACAACTAATCTTGTATTTGCAACATGCTTTCATCCCTCAGATGAAACATTCAGGGTAATCTTGTGATGCAAGAAGCATTCTGAAAAGCACATCTAATCTAAATATATCACAAGCAGGAAATCAGTTTAGGAAACAGCTGAACTAATGAATGATAACAGAATTAAAAGAGAACTAAAAGAAGACAGGGGAGTAGGAGAGAAGCTGAATAAATTATTTCATTGTTTTCATTGCAGAAGACATAGATCTGATCCTATGGCTGAAGTGAGGTTTTCAGGAAGGGAATCCAAGAACCTGAGGCAAGCAGCATTGACAGAAGATGAAATTCTCATCCTCACTGACGAATGTAAAATTAACCAATCACCAGGCCCAGTTGGTATCCATCCTAAGGAACTCATATATGTAACATGTAATATGCCAATAAGATCAGTCTCAATTTGGGAGGACTGAAGAATAGCTAGTAATGCTGATTTTTTAAACAGGATCTGAAGCATCCAAGAAATTAAAGGCTGGTTAGCTTAATATCTGTTCTGAGTAAATCAGCTGACAAGTTGATTAAAAATTAATAAGTATGAGGGGAAACCCAAAACACCAGGTAGTTATTTATAAAAAAATCATGTATTTATTTTTACATTTTGAACTTCAGTCACCTTCAAGGTACTCTCCGTTTAATGCAATACACCTTTTTTCCACTGCTCAAAACAGGTTTTGAACTTGTCAATTTCAATGCCTCTTAGTACTTCTGCTGGTTTTGGTTTCACTTCTTCCACATTGACAAAATGTTTCCCTTTGAGGACTTTTTTCATCAGAAAAAAAACAAAAAAAAAAGTCCCATGGGGGCAAGATCGAGTGACTAGGAACAGCGGGGCAAAAGAGTAATGCTGATTTTGGTGAAAAACT